TCCTCAGTTGAGCATCGACCTATGAGCCAGTAGGTCACGGTTCAATTCCAAGTCAGGGCACATGCCTGGGTTTCGGCTCGATCCCAAGTAGGAGGCATGAAGGAGGCAGCCAACCAATGATTCACCATGTCTCTCTCTCTCCCTTTCCCATCCTCTCTGAAATCAATTAAAAAAATAATAATGTGTGCATGAACAGGGCCAGGCCCTTGGTATAGCCTCCATAAATACTCTCCATAGGCTGAGAGACAACTATCTGCAGCGAACACTGGAGGGCTACACTCCCCCCACACACAGATGCCTGAAGAAATCCAATGACATTTCTCTCAGGGACTCCCAGGTTCTCATCAGATAAGGGACACACAACCTGTGCTTCTCAGCTGGAAGGAAACTTCTGAGTGGAGAGGCCTCTCTTGGTAGCAGAGTTTTACCAGCCATCCAGATAAATCCATATCTACCCCCTAGCCTTGGACACACATTCACCCCCAGGCTGGGAGCAGGGCACAGGCGCCAGGACCACAGAGTCCTCGGCAGTGAGGGTCACAGCATGCAGTGTGCCTTCTCCTCTGAGCCCATTCTGTCAGCATAAAACATCTCAGGACAGAAGAATTTTGTTGAGGATGATTATTTACCATGATGAACAGCTGTTGTTTGCAATACACTAACAATCATTTTGAAGTGAATTTTTGAAGAGCATCACTGGGGTTAGCTTTGGACAAATGCTCTTGTTTTTATTCCTCTTCGAACCTCCCCTTTAAACCATACTCACTGTTGGTGTGGGACTGGGGTGCAGGTTTTATTTGTCAATCCTCAGAATTTGGGATTCTAGTAGCATCTTCATGGTAACCACCAGCAGGGAAGCCAGGAAGGGGTTTGGAAAGGATGCCTTTCGCCTTTTGAAGGGAACAACTCAATGGAAGCAGTTTGGCAGCTGCAACCAGGCTGCTGACTTTTGAATAGCTGTGATGACTGGACGCAGATAAAAGTGGCTGTACCCCTAGGTCCTCTCCTGAGAATGTCCACAGACCCCCTGGATGAAGGCCCAGGAGTAGCTCCCTCTGGAACCTGCCTGATAGTCTAGTCCCTACGTCATGTGAGGTCAGGACGGCCCAAAGTCCAGGAAACAATAAAAGAAAAAAAAATTTTAATCTAAGTTTAGCAAATAGAAATTGAATGGGTGAATGGATAAACATTGTGGAATATCAATCATTGCAATACAGAGAAACTGCTGGTTCTCCCCGCATGGATTGACCACAGGTATCCATGTTCATGTGAGAGCTAGAACAGGCACAACTAATGCCTGGTAGTTAGAAGTGGCTTGGCAGGCAGGGTGTGGGCATAGGGGAATGAGAAGACTGTGGAAGGACAGGGATGTTCTGTGTGAGACTGGGTGCTAGTTCTGTGTGTGTATATCACCACAGTCACTGACCTGTACACTGGAAACGTGTGAATTTTATTGTGACTTAATTAAACTACCATAAGCTGATTGTTCTTTAAAAGTATAGTCTTAGCAATAAGAATATAAAATGTGTGCCGTTAACAAGAATAAAGCATTGGTTCCGAACAGATGTGCAGACTGAGAGCTCCGCTTTAGTCATTGTGTGCTCTTTCCCACTGGGATGTGCCTTGCACATGTGGGCCATGGTTGTGGCATGTTACATGTTGCAGTGTGCATGACAGACCTCACTGCTGCTTCTGCCGAAGCTGTCTCAGGTCGTGTGGCCATGCTGTTGGATGGCACAGAAATGAGTCAGCACCTTCATCTCTAGCATCTGCCTAAAGCTCTCGCTGCCTGAGAGCCTGGAGTGCGAAGGCCGCACACAGCAGCCTCCCTTACCGCTTCTCCCGAGGCTCAAGGCTGCAGAGAGGTATGGAGAGTAGAGCATGTTGTCGGGTGGGATGGGAGATGAGGCACTGAAGAGTTGTGTGCCCTCCACCTGCCCTTACTTCACCTTTCCTTTCAGACAATTGTCTCAGGAAGCCCCTTGCCCCACCTCCGCCACCCATGTGGGAGGCCTCTCAATCACCCAGGGTGATGATTCTCAGAGATCAGCAAGCCCTCTGAGGGCCCCTCAGGAGCAAATAGTAATAGTGATCATTTCTAGATCCTCCTTGCCTCCTTGCTTCACAGCTTTGTAGCTACTTAAGCATCTATTAATTCCAGTGCCAATAAATGGTTTATCTCCTTCAACTGCCTTTGCTGCCAGGGTATCTGCACTATCAGATCAATGGTGTGTTTTGCTGACATGTTGGGGTCCTAGTAGAAGGTCTTAGCACTTGTGTATGGTGCTGTTGTTTTGGTTGTGCTGTTGAGCATAGGTGGTGTAACTGAGATACCAGAAGTGAGGAGCCTCGTGAAGCTTCAAAAAACTCCCTTATTTATTGCCTCATCAAAATTGATGGAAAGCGTTTTCAGGGTAAAATAGGAAAGTTATTTTAACTAAAATGCATTGATTTAAATGACAAAATGCAAATTTTTAGAACTCATGTAAATATATAAACATGAAATGTTGTGGCAGGTATATTCTGTCTGGAAGCTAAAAGTGGCACTGAGTTCCCACAGGTCACTTCTCTGTCCTCTGCTCTTAGCAACAGGTGAACGAGTTATTTTCTAAAGTGTATTAAATAATAAAAAGAAATAAAAGATTCTTACTTTCTGTCAAGAGGCCACTGTGCTGGCTTCTCCCTTATCTCCTTGTCTCATTTCTCTGCTCTCATCAGCTCAGAATTGTTTGGAAAGCAATACTTTCAGCTTGCCCTGTCACCCCCAAACCCAGCTATTCTTCTTGTCTCTGGACTCACTACAGAACAGTGAGTCGGCACCTTAAAATAGTCTCACTGTGTGAGGGGGTGAAGCTCGATGCATGAATACATGTGCACCTACTTAGTAATGAAATTCGTATTCTACTAGGTATAAAGCCCAGATTGAGGCTGACAAACAATAATAATAATAATTTGGTGTTTAAGAAATATTGTTAGGCCATGGCTATCTCTAGTACTTCAGAAACAATTGCTATCACCAATAGTTAATATGTAGAAAAATAAGAATTGACAGGAAAAGTAGAGTCAAATAAAAAGATAAAATTTGTGCATGGGCGGCGGGGGGGGAGGAAAGAGGGTGTTCCCTCAGCCCAGCCTGCATGCTCTCCAATTGGACATCCCTCTCCCAATCTGGGACCACTGGCTCCTAACTGCTCACTGGTCTGCCTGCCTGATCACCCCTAATTGTCTCTGCCTGCCTGCCTGATCACCCCTAACCACCCCTGTCTGCCTGCCTGATAGCCCCTAACTGCTCCCCTACCAGCCTGATCGCCCCTAAGTGCTCCCCTGCTGGCCTGATTGCCCCTAACTGCCTCTGCCTTGCCCCACACCTGGGACCCAGACTTCCCTCCCTCTGGCCAGCTATAGGCACCCAGGACCTGAGCCAGCTTCACTCAGGCCAGCTGCAGCCACAGGGGACCATGGGCAGGCAGCTTCATCCAGGCTTCAGCCGCAGGCCCCCAGGAGTTCAGGGTATGCTGCTTGTCCCTCTCCTGGACTGCAGGCGCAGGTGCACTGCTGGCATCTGGGACCCTGGAGTGGGTGGCTTGTTCCTCTCCCGGTCCGCAGCCTGTCTGGTCCCCATCCCTCTCTCCCCAGTGTTGAGTGTCTAAGCCATTATGAAATGTGGCATGAGGGTGTGACTACTATTTGCATATTAGCTCTTTATTATATAAGATTTTAACTTGTCATTGTCTATCTTCAAGTGGATATTTTATCACTTCACATCTTGTATAGAAACTTCACTGTAGCCGAAACCAGTTTGGCACAATGGATAGAGTGTCAGCCTGCAGACACTCTATCCACTCGATTCCGGTCAAGGGCACACACCTTGGTTGTGGGCACGTCCCCAGTAGCGGGTGTGCAAGAGGCAGTTGATTGATGATTCTCTCTCATTGATGTTTCTAACTCTCTATCCCTCTCTCTTCCTCTCTGTAAAAAATCAATAAAATATATTTTTTTTTTAAAAAGAAAAAAGAAACTTCACTGTAACAAAATTTCATTTTTCCTGGGCAATCTTTGTGCTATTGTTGTCATGTATTTTACTTTCACAGATGTTATAAAACTGACATTACATTATTATTTGTTTAAATAGTTAATTATCTTTAAATATATTTAAATAATAAGAAACTTCTATTATATTTTTTCTATGCATTTACTGTCTTTGTTGTTTTCCATTTCTTGGCATAGATCATTATTTGTATCTGGTAAAATTTTATTTCTGCTTGCAGGACTTTTTTTAAAAAACATTTTTTACACTACAAATCTGCTGGTCATAAAAAAATCAATTTTTTATATATGAAAAATATATTTTAACTATTTTAAACTATTTTTTAAATATTTTCACTCATTCTAGAATTATAAATTGAGAGAATTTTCCCCCCTTGTAAGTACTTTAATGATGTTGCTCTACTATCTTCTCCCTTACACTGTTTCTGATGAGAAATCTTTTGTAATTCTTATGTTTATTCCTGTGCATAGTGTGTCTCTTTTCTTCTGACTACTTAAAAGAGTTTTCTTTTCATCATTGGTGTGGAGCAATGTGATTTTTATGTGCCTTGATGTAGCTTTCTTTATGTCCTTGTGCTTGCTAGTCACTGAGCTTCTTAGGTCTGTGGGTTTATATTTTTTACTATATTTTGCTAAATTTTGAAATTTTTGAATCACTCTTTCTTCAGATGATTAAATATATACACGTTTGGATCTCTAGAGTGGGCTTGGGAGGAAGAGGAGTGAACCAAACCGTAGGGTCAGGACCTCAGCAAGCAATTGAGTGCAGGTTCAGCCAGCTGGGCCATCCCTGCAGTGGCCAGTTCATTACCAGCTGCCTGAGACTGGTTCGTTCCTGGGCTAGAGGGTTTCATGCATCTGTTCCATGCTGCCCAGCATTGCAGTGCCCATTGGAGCTGTACGTAGCTTATGGGGAAGGCATGGCCTGAGGAGTCAGAGCCTTGATCCCACGCAATAACCACATCCGGGCATTGGGAATTCGGCCAGTTCTCTGCACCCTGAGTCACCCAACTATTGCATCCTCAGAGCAGTCATAGTGCCTTCTTCCATCACAGTCCCCTAAGCTCGCAGCAATAGAGGTGTGCTGTCATACGTTTGGGTGAACAGAACATAGAAGACCCCTGAGTGATCGCAGGTGCCAGGTGTTGGCTGGGGAGGTGATCGTGTGGGTTTGCGTGAAGTGCTCACAGTCACAACTTTGGAAGCCTCTTAATTTCTCAGAGAGCTCGATGGTGAGAAAATGCAGGTCTCGTCCTGCGTTGCGGTTTCTGTGGGAAACCTCGCCATTGGGGGTGTCAGAGGGGTTGGCCGGAGTGCCTGTGGCAGAGAGACATCCTTCTCCCGTAACCTCTTTGCAGGAGGACTGGTCTCCAGATGCCCAGGAACTGCTCAGCAGATCCCGGCTGTTCCACAGAGTTCTCTGAGCAGCCGTCCATCTTCCGCAGGAAGAAAGGTGTGTGCTTGTGCACAGTTACTACCCGGTCCCAGGCCGGCGGGGGCACCCGGCCCCGGACATGTTCTCCCACTGGGTTTGCAGGGATCGGACAATGGTTGTCCAGAATTCCCTTGTTTGACAAAGAAAGTTAAGTTCCCAGTGAGGCCTCTGGTTAGAAAGGGAGGGAACTGGGGAAAGGAGGAGTCGAGCTGCCTCTTCTCCACATGCAGGAAGGCCCAGAGCCCTAGGCACAATCTCCAGCCCCCTCACCTGCCTCGAGGAGGCTGCTTCTAAAGAGAACATGAAGGCCGGGCTCTGCTCCTGTGTCCTGGTGGGTCTGAAAAGCAGGAGGCAGAGCTGTGCTCTCACCTGGGCCTTGGTGCAGCGGCTCCTGGTTCTCAGCAGAGACCTGGGGTCTGACCTCTCCTCAGTGGTTGGAACCACATGTAGGAGCCACCAGTGCAGACAAGCCCCTGGGAGGCAGATACAGTGGGGAAACCATTGGACCTCATTGCCCAGGCAACAATGCCAGCATCCTGGCCTGCCCCCAGTTGCTCAGCGCCTGCTCATAAGCATGCTGCCCACAGGCCTGCCATCTTTGTTTGGTTAATTTGCATATGCACTCCTGATTGTCTGTGGGTGTCATGGTGGCATGGTTAATTTACATATTTGTCTATTATTAGTATAAGATGGCTGAGTAATATTCCACTGTGTACATGTTCCACAACTTCTTTATCAACTTGCCTATTGATGGGCACTTGGGCTGCTTCCAGATCTTGACTACCTACACTAATAAAAGAGAAATATGCAAATTGACCATGCCTCCAGGGTGCCCACCAGCCAATCAGGAGCAAATGTGCAAATTAACCCAACAAAGATGGTGGGTTAATTTGCATACACAGATGCAGAGCACAGACTGAAGAGGCTTGGCTTCTCCACTGCGGCCAGAGCAGAGAACCCAAACCTCGCTGCAGCCCGAGCAGAGAAGCCTAACCTCGAGGCTTGGCTTCTCTGCTGCTGTAGGAGCAAAGGCCTGGGTCCCGGGTGCCAGAGGAAAACTGATGGCCAGCAGCCAGGGGAAGGAAGGCCTATTGCACAAGTCTTCGTGCACTGGGCCTCCAGTTGTAAATAACGCTGCAGTGAACATGGGGATGTATATATTCTTTCAAATTAATGTTTTGGGTTTCTTAGATTATATTCCCAGAAGTAGAATTGGTGGGTCAAAAGGCAGTTCCAATTTTAATTTTTTTATGAACCCCCCTCCACACTGTTTTCCACAGTGGTGGCACCATTCTGCATCCCACCAGCAATACATGAGGGCTCCCTTCCTCCACATTCTCTGCCTCTCCGGATTCTGCTGCTGTAGAACTAATAACCCAAATGGAATGCAAACCAGTTTGACATGCCCTCCTCCTTTCTCAAACTTAACTTCCTATTTCCAATAAATAATCTTCTGGCTGCTTTCCTCCCTAATGCCTTTAGGATATTGAATTATAAAGACAGAGTTCAGGTGTTTTCTCCTTTAAAAAAAATGGATTTCCCATTTATCATTTTCTGCTTTGTGTTTCTGTATAGTCATTTTGGGGTGGTATTTGGGGATTATGGGTTTCCATGACCAAATGGCTCACTGAGAACTAGGGGATTCATAGGATGACACATGGTCTGAGGTAGAGGGTGATTCTAAAGGTTCCTCACATAACTCAGCTGTTTTGTCACTAATTCATCCCCTCTGTCAAAGCAAAAAACAGTGACCCAGCATGTGGCAACTGGGGCATGTAGGTGCTCACATGAGCACAGTGTCTCCCTTTGTATAGTGGGCTCCTGGGTACAAGAGCTTTGAGTGGGAAACACAGGTCTCTCATTCTGAAAGTGAAAAATAACACCTTCAAAGCAGTGCATCAGTTTAGTACTTGGGAGAAGCATCTGAGAACAAAGCTGGCTTCCTCTGTTCATTAGTGAGTGACCTTAGGCAAGTCACTAGCCTCCTGAGCTTCCATTGCCCCAACTGTGGAGTTAAGTGGTTGGACTGATAATTCTGTTTGACAGATGACCCATTCTTCACAGAGAGAGGGACGAACCTTACGAGAGCAGGAAGTCAGGTGGGGAGGGCTGTCTGACCCCTGGCACTGTCTCAGGGTCTCCCCTGCAGCCAGGGGATCAGCAGCAGCCTGGAGAACCAGGATCTTCTGACTCTCCAGCAGGTGAAAGCTGGTCAGTGCTGCTTCAGCTGTGGCCTGCAGTGTGCTCTTGACCCACCTTTCTGGAACTCTTTCCCGGAATGGGGTGGTGCTGGGAGGACAGTGGTGGAGTCAGTCCCAGGCCCTGACAGCTTAAATCTGCCTTATCTTTGGGGCCTATCCGTTCCTCACTCTGGTTTTGGGAGGTCCCTCTGAGCCAGTGGGATACAATGAAGGCAACTGGAGCAGCCTCAGGCCTTGCAAGCACTGATGCTGATGAGATATATCTTTCAGGTGAGCCTGTGGGAGAGGATGGCCCACGTGGGAGACTACAGACAGATGCCCTGGCTCCCTGTCCTGGTGGTAAGTGGGTCAGGACACCTGCCTGCACTGCACAGCCTTGGCAGAGATCCCATTGGGGCCCCTTCCAAGCTTCACTTCCCAAGCTTCACTTCCTTCACCAGCCACACTTCCTTGGCCAGGTTCCTTGGCCTCTTAAGCCTCGTTTACATGGCTGTAAAATGAGAACAACAATGGCATCTTCTTCACTGAGTTCTTCTGAGGATGCAAAAATGTAACTCCTGCAACACACTGAACAGTGCCCAGGGTTTAAACTAGACTTTCCTGGTTGGTGGCTCCCTTTATAGGATTTCATGGATAGAAATGACCTTAAATGCTCATTTACATTGTGATATACACGTGCCTATGTGACAAGCCACATCTGTGGGTCATACAATTGGGAAAGATCCAAGCCTTTACCAGGAGCCCTCCGGGGAGGAAAAGAGGCACCAGGTGATTGAGAGACCTGCTATGCTAGAGGCGTGGGCCAGGAACTGCCTCATTCTTGACTTTGGAAGGAATGAAAGAAAGATTTCAGGGGAAAGAGAGTTTGGATCAGGCCTCCAAGGTGGGGTGGGTGTGGGACAGGGGGAGACAGAGTGAGGCCAGGCTTTTGAAGCAGGTGGCCTGCCCAGTTATCAGCTAAGTTCCTGGAAATGGGCATTGGATGAGCACTAATGGACTGAGCGGGCCCTTTCTCACCCGGCCTTGGGCTGCCTAGGCATGAACCCTGAGTAACTGAGTAACTGTGTGTCTTCAAGGAAGCATGAAAACCAAATGACCCGTTTCTTGTGGCAGGTGTCTCTGATGTGCTCAGCCAGAGCAGAATACAACAACTGCGGCGAGAATGAATACTACAACCAGACCACGGGGTTGTGCCATGAGTGTCCCCAGTGTGGGCCGGGGGAGGAGCCATACATGGTAAGGCCCCCTGCCTGGCTGCCAGTCCACAGCCTCGGGGCCTTCATGGGGTATTGTCACCATACTTTGTGTTGCTCTGCATGTGGTCCCTAATACATCAGTGCCCCCTGCACCCGGTGCACCCCAGTGCCTGCTGGGCCTTGTGTGCCCATCACGTGGTGTGCCCAAAGACTGCAGGTTTGGTCCTGGCAGGTGTGGCCCTGTACTCACCTGTGTCCTCTCCCCTTCCTTGGCCAGTCCTGTGGCTATGGCACCAAAGATGAGGATTACGGCTGCATTCCCTGCCCAGCAGAGAAGTTTTCCAAAGGAGGTTACCAGATATGCAGGCGCCACAAAGACTGCGAGGGCTTCTTCCGGGCCACCGTGCTGATGCCGGGGGACATGGAGAATGACGCCGAGTGCGGGCCTTGTCTCCCTGGGTAAGCATATGGGCGCTCCAAACGGCACCCCAGCACACGCTCTCAGAGGCCCCTCGTGTCTCTGGGAGGCCCTCTGAGAACATGAGCCCCTCAGGCTGCAGTGCAGCATCACTCCTGCAGGCTGCCCCATTCTACAAGGGCGGCATGCAGAGAGGAGGGCACTTATCTGGAATAAGGACACGAGGCACCTAGGATGGTGAGTCCTGCCACCTTTCCTGAGCAGGCAGCTGGCCCAGGCCTAGTTTCTGTGTTCTTAAAGCCAACATCAGTCAGATCTTCCGACTACTCAAATCAAACAAATTTGCTGACTACTTACAGTGAGATAATACATGTGGGATGCTTTGGAAAAAAACACTAAGATTCCATACAAGACTATTACTTTTAATATTCTGAGGACAACTAAGGATAAAAGCCACTGAGAGGAATATTTGAGTGTAATGTGCATATAATTCCACCACAATTCTGTTATGTATCAAAAGTCTTCCCCAGAAAAAGCAAAGTGCAAATGCAGTTATCCTGAAAGAAGAATTAAAATCTTCCTTCACGTGGGCAGAACACATAAGCAAGTTCTCTTTGAGATGAGGGCAGGGCAGCCTAGAGGCCCAGTAAACACAAGCCTCTGCAGTTGCTACTGCTCCCTCTGGTGGCCACACAGCATAATGCTTGCATGGGCTGCCTGGAAACTAAGAGTGGTGAGGCTGAAGGGTGATGGAGCTGGCGAGGGTGCAGGCCATGGTGTTGGTCATGGAGGCAGCACCATTCTGAATACTACACTGTATTTCACAAACTGCTTGTTAACCCATCATCTTACTGTGTTGAATTGAGAGGAGAAAGAAAATACGAATACATTCAAATGAGAACACCGGCCATTAGTCTAAGAAAAAGAAAGTACAAAAAAGGCAAAAAGTCACACCAATTTAGGAATAGAATGAAAGTGAATAACTTTTTTGTGTGTGTGAATAACTTTTAAATGAGGAGATATTTTAAACTTGAAGAAATTTACCCTAATTCAGATTTGTTACAGAGAAGCATCAATTTCCATGGCTTCCACCACCATCTCTCTGCTGGTGATTTGCCAACCCCCACCTCCAATCTCCCTAGTTTTCTGTCATGAGTTCATACCTACATCCTGAATTACATAACTGCCTATCCAAACCCCACAGGGACAACCATGTCAATGTCCCTGACCCAGAGGTTGATTCAAACATATTTTTCAAATGAATAAATAAATTATGAGAACCTTATTCCAGAACCTTTACAGGAAAACACACACACACACACACACACACACACACACACACACACAAAAAAAAAAAAAAAAAAAAGGTAGCTATACCCAAATAATCTATTCTCTTAAAAAAATATCTATAATAATAAAAGGGTAATATGCTAATTAGACCAGACGTCCTTCCAGACAACCTTTCAGATGAAACCACGGCAGTGTGAGCCGAGGCAGAAGTGGCCACCTCAATGGCAGGGGGCCAAGCCCCTTGCATGAATTTCATGCATTGGGCCTCTAGTCCTATAAAATAAAAGCTTAATATGCTAAGTGTCCTGTTGTCCAGTTGTCCATTCAACCAATCAAAGCGTAATATGCTAATGATAAGCTAAAGCAGCTCAACTGCTTGCTATGATGTGCACTGACCATCAGAGGGAAGGGTAGGTTCGCTTTTTGCTAGGGTCTAGCAGATGGACACTGAATTAGACGGGCTAGACAAACCCTGAAGCCTTCCCGCATCCCTCCCATGTCCCGATCGTGCACCAGTGGGGTCCCTTAGCCTGGCCTGCACCCTCTCACAAACCAGTTTTGGCCCAATCCCACAGGCCAGGTTGAGGGACCCCACTGATGCATAAATTTGTGCACAGGGCTTCTATTGATGAAATAAAAGTTCTTTCACTGGGTTTTCTTTAGTTCAGTTGCTGTGATCATTGTGTTGTGGGGGATCCACCAGAGGAAAGTGTTAGAAGAAGTAGTCGAGCCCTAGCTGGTTTGGCTCAGTGGATAGAGTGTCGGCCTGAGAATTGAAAGGTCTGAGGTTCAATTCTGGTCAAGGACACATGCCCAGGTTGCAGGTTCAATCCTCAGTAGGGGAGTGTGAAGGAGGCAGCTAATCAATGATTCTCTCTCATCATTGATGTTTCTATCTCTCTCTATCCCTCTCCTTCCTGTCTGAAATCAATAAAAATAGCCGAAACCGGTTTGGCTCAATGGATAGAGCATCAGCCTGTGGACTGAAAGGTCCCAGGTTCGATTCCAGTCAAGGGCATATACCGTGGTTGCAGGCACATCCCCAGAGGGGGGTGTGCAAGAGGCAGCTGATCGATGTTTCTCTCTCATCAATGTTTCTAACTCTCTATCCCTCTCTCTTCCGCTCTGTAAAAAAAAATCAATAAAATATATATATATTTTAAAAATCAATAAAAATTTTTTTAAAAAAAGAAGATAAAGAAGCAGCCGATCTATCCTGCCCAGTGGGTCACACGTCTGTGGAGGGCCTGCAGACACTGGGCTTGAAGGAGAGAGATCAGAAGGACCTTGACTTTAGGTGGCTAGAATCAGTCTCTGGTAACATAGTTCCCAGGACTCTTCTCTGCGTTGCTTTTAATTGCTGTGGGTACATAATTCATGAAAGAAATGCAGAGTTTCATGGATTAACTGTAGACGTGCCAAGGAAAAGCATGCTCCCCTTGCCATGCTTAGCCTTGGAAAGAAAATAACCCTTTTTGCAAAACCTCAACTAATTTTGAGAGCCTGTTAGTGTGAGAATCTGACCTGACATTCACAATGTAACATTTATTTTAGTAAACCTTTAGATTAAGCCCACCGGGTAGGTACTAGTGAGACAAAGAGGGAAGACGTGGTGCCTCTCTTTCCAGTGGAGGAGAGAAGAAAACCTGTGGTCACAGTGGGAGACACACGGTGCTCAGGAAGTCCAGGAAGGGCCATTTCTGTGACTGGGGTCAGTGGGGTCTTAGAAGACTTCTCAGTGTGATGCTAGGATGGGTGGAGCAGAGTTGAGAAGTGCAGGTGCTCAGCCAAAGCCCAGAGGGTGAGCAATCCAACAGGACATAGAGCTGCGTCCCTGAGCCAAGTGGAAGACACACAGGTGGGTGTGGAGAAACTAGACTCTGGAAAATGATGCTGAGGGCTCTCGTCTTTAGCTCGACACTGATGCAGACGTATAAGCTGGTGTAGGGCATAATCAACCCTAGGATGACCCCCTTAGCAGCAGTGAAGATAAAAACTGTTGAGCAAGAAGAGATGGAAGCCTGGGGAACAGGGATGAGGTGGGGAGTTGTGAGGATCAGGGCAAGGCAAAAGCATTGGAAGTTGGAAGGAAAGGGAAAATTCAAGAGCTTGTTGGAAGACAGCAGAGACAAGAGTTGCAGACCGTGTGCATGTGGGATTTGGAGAAGGAGATTTTTAAGTGGATTCTCAGGTGTCTGTCTCAGGCAGCTGTGTGGACAGGGAGGCCATTTGCTAAGATGTGGACTACAGGAGGAAGAATAATTTTGATGGGGAGTTGGAAGAAAGATGGAGGAGGTATGTGTGGAATTTAGGTTATTGTTACATGCAAAACAATGTATCTAACACATAGATAAATAAATAGCTCAGGCCACATCTGGAATCACCTACCCATTAGTGGTATGGGTAGTGGTCCCTTTGGAAGGCTTCAAATGCCGGACAGCCCTCTGTGGAATTAGCAGGGAGGCCAGCATCTGTTTACAAGGATCTTCCCAGCCTGAAATCATAAGTGGCTCCTTCCCTGCTCCATGTAGAACAGTGACCTGCTTCCTCCACACTTTGTCTCCGGCACCGGAACAAGGTGAGGGGAGCACTGGCTGAGTGCAAAGGATATTGTGCAACAGACACGCCTCAGTGCACCTCTCATTACCCCACGGAAGTGAAAATATAGTCAGTTTCCATTTTGGCTGTGCTGTGATATGACCTCAAATAAATCACTCCCTAACCCAAGGCCACGGAATAGAGGGCCTTTACTTTATCTCCAGGCCTAACCTCCTCATCCTGGCTCTAATAAGCACAATGCTCTAACAGGGTGGGACCCCAAAGGCCTCCCTCCTATTACAGGTTTTGAGTCAAAATGAAGCTCTCAGGCTGTGTCACAAAGGAGGATTATAGGGAGTTTTGGCAAGTTGGAGCCATCAGCTCCATGAAAAGCTGTTTTCATTTCCAAGTCCCCGTGGTCCCCAGGCTGCGGATGCAGACTGCCTCCTATTTGTCTTCCTGACACCACAGGTTGCCTTGGCCTGTTCCCCCTTTGTGGTTTGGCAAGCACCGCCTTCTCATTCTTTGCCATCTCTGCTGTATATCAGTATGTAGCCAAGACACTGGCTGAACAATGAGCAGTACATGGGGCTTTCCTGTTGAGAAAGACTTGTGTGGGAGGACCAGGGAGTAAAACCCGAGAAGAGGAAGAGAGAAGAGGTGAAATTCCATAACCTCCCCCAAGGCATCAAGTTACCCATTGGAGACACTCCTGCTGGCTAGCTTCCACACCACGTCCATTCTCTGCAAATAAGGCATTCTAGGATGTTTGGGAAACAGGGACAAAGGGCAGGTGGTTGCTTCTACATACCAACATTGTAGAGGGCAAAGGGAGCTTCAAAGAGCTCAGTGGCATCCATTGCAAGCTCAGGAGCTCTAAGAAAAGGGAACCTTTGGAGAAAATTTACACACACAGGAGATTCTAGAGGCGCATTTAAACTGAGTCTTAATGTTTTTACACTTTTAATGATTAAGTTACCCACCTTAATCGACCCTTAAAGAAAAACAAAAAGAAAGAAAAAAGATCAGGGAAAAGTCTAAATAGAGATCAAAGAGTGGGAAATTAGACCTTCACAGAAAGACAAAGGGGCCTGGTACTCTAACCCGGCACAGCTCCCTAAATGAACACCCAGCTTCAAGTTCATAGAAGCCAAACAATTAGTCTCCACTCCTCCCTGGCTGGGAATGGGAGGTGTGGGGGTAAACTAAACACAAGGAGTTGAGGTTGTCTTAAAGAGAAAAAACCAACATTTAAAAATCTTCTGAGCAATATATTCTAGGAAATGTGTGACATATTTAACACTCATGATTTTATAACAGCCTCTGGGAGCCAACATTTTTTTTAATATATATCTTTTATTGATTTTACACAGAGAGGAATTGAGAGGGATAGAGAGTTAGAAACGTCGATGAGAGAGAAACATCGATCAGCTGCCTCTTGCACACTCCCTACTGGGGATGTGCCCGCAACCAAGGTACATGCCCTTGACAGGAATCGAACCCGGGTCCTTTCAGTCTGCAGGCCGACGCTCTATCCACTGAGCCAAACGGTCTCGGCATGGGAGCCAACATTTTTTTTAAAAAATTATAGCCCTTCCATATTGTTTCTTCAGTTAAGCTGCTGAACACATCACACGTCTTGGTGCAGACACGCAGCCAGGACAGGAGGTGTAGTGGCAGCCATCGGGGCCTCTGGCAGTCACAGAGAGGACCACTCAGGATGAGAGCCGTCGGCCTGCCCAAGGAGGTGCCTGTATGCCCAGCAAAGGCAGCTGACTGATCCCATTTGGAGTTGTCCCTGGTGTGCACAGAGCGTGGTGTTCCCTAGGACTCACTCGGTGTCCAGTTCTAAGACCAAGTGTCCTACACTCACCCAGGTGGCTGTGGAATTTCATCCAAAATGGAGCTCAGCACCAGGCTATTAACCAGGATGGGCTTAGCTGTGGTTCTGCTTTTGAAAATGAGGAAAGGTGTACAAAATGCCATTGGACTTCTGTCAGTCTTAGCACTGTGAAATTCTATAGAGAAAAACTTGGTCTCATTCACTTCTCTTCAAATCAATTCTTGCCTAACACCTTCCCTCCTCATCACCTAGTGCAAGGTACTAGGAATGCAGGCTTGAACAAGGCTGCCCTGAGGGACTCCCAGGCCAGGAAGAGAGGCATTCACAATCTGGGGAAGAAGAATGCACTAGAGGTGGAGGTGAAAGCAGGAGCAACTAATAGTAGATTGGTTCGCTGCCACCAATCTAATGCCAATAGTAGTCTCCAATCTAGGGTGTGGTAAAAGGAGAAACTTTATTCAGATAAAGAGTTTGCAAAGCCCAGAGAAGCAGTCCCTAGTGAAAACCAAATTTTGTGCTCCACTGAGATAAAGAGAAGGCCAGTCTTCATAAAGTCCCCATCGTTGTCCCTGATTGGTCCATTTTTATGCAAATGAGGAATCCAAATTTGCACAACCTGGTCCAAATAGCACTGTGCTAATTGGTCAGCTTCATGTATTCTGATTGGTTGTTATGGAGCAGCTCTGATTGGTTAGTAAAGATGCAAATAAGATTATAGCTCTGTAATTTTAAATGGACAGGGCAGGTCTCAGCCCCCTGGTTGAAATGCAATACCAGAAACTCCTTCATCAGGATGGACTCCACAGGCAGGAGCACCAGGAGGAGGCTGAGGTTCAGTCTGCAGTTTTTCCCTGAAAGCAGCCTATGTGAGAGGCCTTTGTCAGCAATGGCTGCCAGATTCTTGTTATGAATTTGGACCCAGTTAACCATGAGGAGGCCTTCTTAGCAGATAGATTTCTTCTCAGGTCACAGAGGCAACTTTGGGTCTGTATGTCAAAAAGCTGCAGGAGGACTGACCTGGCCAACCTGAAGCCCAGAGGCCATAGCCCTGATTAGGCCACGCCCCTCCTGGTGCAGACACGCCCCTCCTGGAGCCCATGCACTGGAGGCCCCATGGCTTCCTGCTTCCCCAGCACAGATGGCTTCTGAGGGGACAAGGTGTGCATTTGAGAGAGGCTTTCTCCAGAGGTTTAATTGTGAGCCTGGCTGTGCTGGCTTCTCCGAGGGATGTTTTGAAATTGGTTAATTGATGTTTTTAGATACACAGGAATCTGGGGATAAAACGCTCTGAGGAAGGGCAGGTAATTATGATCATAATGTTACTGATAATGGTTCAGCTCCTAGCCGCTAGAGTCCGAAAACTACCTCCCTCAAACCTCCCCCCCCAAGTCCTGCTCCATGCTCCATGCTCCGCGGGGCCTAGGTGTGCATGGCTAATGAAAGAGATTTTAAAACAACCATGAAAGTATTCAACAGCGGAGAGGTATTTTTCATTTTTTGAAATTGTAGTAAGGGAGAATTGATTTCTCACAATGCAATAGCTGGCTCCATGATCATCTGTGAATGTATATATATGGAAAACAAGCATACATCAAGAGAAGTGCCAAAGCCTGCCTGTAGGTGGAAAGGAGGCTGAGTTGTGAGGCTAGAAGGGGAGGCCAGAAGGTGGAGGCCCCAGGAGGTGTGGCCTGCAGTGAACGGCAGCCCCTGGTGGCAGGCTCTGGGCAGGGTGTTCTTAGAGCCAGCATGGTCATGGGGCTGGAGTATTGACATTGGGAAGCTCGAAAGAAATCACTGTGAAGGCTTTGTCTTTTTCTTTAAATGTCAGAACCCCAGCATGAATTTATATGTGTGTCTTCGGACAAGTGCTTCCTGAGGAGGAAGCAAATAAATTTCAGTTATGGCCTGGCTGTACTTCAGGCTGTCTCTAAAGCCCTCTGTGATGACATCCCTGGACATTGCTACAGCCATGTTGCCGGCCAGTGCCGCTCACTGGTGGGCAGCAAGTGTTGCCCGAGAGGTCCCAGTGTCACAGGCAGAGACATATCTACGGGCATTCAGTAAAGGAGTACTCCTTCTCCAAAGGTGCCTGAATCTCTGGTTGGCAAGACACCCAAAGCGCTAACCAGAGCATACATGTGCTGGCAGTGCACACAGTGGTGGCGGGCATGCACACATTGGGCACACAGATGTTTAGGTGGAGGATGTTGATGAAGATGGTGATGATTTCATCAATGATTCATCAGTGAAAGGAACCAAAAGGGGGGAGGGGGATTTTTATAAGGCCCAAACTGGCCTAATATTGGGGGGAAATTCGTTTTAAGACAAGTTGAAAACCTCCAAGGGAACTCAGTGATCAGAATGGGCTGCTGCCTCAGCAGGGCTCCTGCTCCCCGGGCATCTGTCTCAGGCCTGATTGGGATCATGCTTGGTCGTGGGTATGCCAAGTGGTCAGCATTTGCTTGGGGTAGAGCCCAGCTCACTGTCTACTTTGTCTTGTTTGCCCTCCCTGTAGTTACTACATATTGGAAAACAGACCCAGGAACATCTACGGCATGGTCTGCTATTCCTGCCTCCTGGCACCCCCCAACACCAAGGAATGTGAGTGCGCTTTGTCCTACATAAGAACGGTACTGGCTCAGTACTGATGTTTTGTATTACATGGTGTGTTAGACAGAGGCCAGTCCTGGCACCTAAACAAGTTAAGTACAGTAAAGGCATAAACAAAAATGTCCCCGTAGTCTAAACCAGTGGTCGGCAAACTCATTAGTCAACAGAGCCAAATATCAACAGTACGATTGAAATTTCTTTTGAGAGCCAAATTTTTTAAACGTAAACTTCTTCTACGCCACTTCTTCAAAATAGACTCGCCCAGGCCATGGTATTTTGTGAAAGAGCCACACACAAGGGGCCAAAGAGCTGCATGTGGCTCTCGAGCCTCAGTTTGCCGACCACGGGTCTAACCAATCGGAAAGCAAGTCCATGAAAAAGGTTTGCTGTACCATGAGTCAGAGGCTCAGATTAGTAACCTTGGACAAGTGACCTTGAATAAATCTCATAACCTCTGTGAGCCTCAGATTTTTCATCTGTAATTTGAGGGTGCTAAAATCTGAATTATCCATGTTATGCAATTCTTAGATAAAACAATGAGTCCAAGGTATTTTGCAAAGTACTACAAAGCTCTAGACAATTGTTAGTTCTCATACATAACCTCTGCTTTCCCATCTGAGAAATGGGGAGATGCAGCCAGATGGGCCATGTGGGGTGACATGGCTCTCAAGTGTGGACGTGAAAGTTACTCTCTCCACTTCGAGGTCTCCACTTCTCCTGCATAGGGCTCATGCTCAGGAATCAGAAGATGGGGCTAGTGGGTCAGTAATGAGGCCCAAACTCACAAAACTGCCATCAGCAGCTCTAGCCTGCCCAGGAATTAGGTAAAACCAATCAGGACCCCAATTTGCTAGCTAACTGCCCAGGCCACACCAGACTCTGCCATTCCTGAGCCTTGGTCAGTGGTTGAGAACTCCTTTGCCTCCACCTGAGAAGCCTGCTTTGGTTTTGTTTGGCTGTGACTTACCTAGGCACATACCAGGCAAGCTAATGCCCTTGTCAGTGGATTACACACCCCATAGTAAAAGAGAACCTGGCACAAACCCCAGGGAAGCGTGTGACAGATGCACACGTGTGAGGGCTGGTGGAGGCCAGGGGTGCCGGCTGTGTAGGAGTGAGCCCTGGACTGCGCAGCCTGAATCTGCCTGGGGCTCTCTGCCATCCCAGATGCTGAGATTCTCCCAGGAGCCCCGGGCTGCAGTCACCCAGTCCCACTTTAGCTGCTCGGGTGGGGCTGAGAATACATGCTCACTGTCCCCAGGGGCTGCCCGGACCCCACGGAGAGCCCTGATGTGCGGTACGGACCCTGCTCTGGAACTTCAGGGCCTGCGTTTAAATTCCTGTTTCCTCATTGCCAAAGATACCCACCTCCCCAGCTGTTGTGCAGCTAGACTGAGCTACAATGCTGGTTTCTGTGTCATGGCCCATCCAAATACCCTCAGGAGAAGTGGCAAAGCACTACACAGGTATTGTTAAAATGGGGGGGAGGGGGGGTTGTTAAACCTACTTTCCAGCTCCATCGAGTAGTAAGAGGGAAGCCAGAGGATTGCCACTGGTCACCATTGGCCCTGCCTTTGGGTCATCATCATCTTCAGGCAAACAGACATGCGTGGAGCTTCAAACAGAACCTGGGCCTCAGGGACTGGAAGTGCCAGGGAGCCATGAACTCCCTGGTTTCCATCCTTCCTCCTGAAAAACAAGTGTAAGTGATGGCTCTTACATAAACCACGTGGGTGTGGAAGGGATGCCCCCAAGTATTCAAGAGCTCTGAAACCTCTCCTGCTTGCGACTTGCCCATCAGGAAAGCTTCAAGCCTTTCTTCCAGAAGCTTCCACCACAGTGAACAAACACTATCTTCCTTCCGCAACCCTAGACCCATCACTGTGTCCTGGAAATGAAAGAAGCAGCCCTCCAGTTATTTTTCAGCTACATCCAAGAGCAAGACCCACTGGGTGCAACCAAAGCTTTCGGTTTTGTTGTTTTCCTTGCACGGGCCTGAGGACTGCCTCTGAAAGGACCCATGCTGTGATGGCATGGGGTGGCTCAGTGCGAGAGGAAGAAAGGGATTGCATAATATTTGGGATTCGTTCAAGTTTCCACTCTTGGGACAGTTACCTAACTTTGTACTTCAGTTTCCCCACCTGTTACATGAGGATCGTCTTCTCAGAAGATTGTTGGGAGGAAGAGATGACATGTCAGGTGTGTGTGAGCCCCCTTTTCAGTGTACACGCGGCACTTACTGTGGGATAAAGCTTCAGTCTCATAGGTGAGCACCAACTAGCCCCTGCAGCTCCACCTCATACAGCTGACCTTCTCTGCATTGTCGGTTCGCCTGGGACACAGAGAGCAAGAACCCCTCCTGCACAGAGTGCTGGAGGAATCAGTGAGAGAGTGGTGGGTCTGGCACCCAGCAATTGTTCCCTGGTTGACGTCACCATTTTTATGACCACTTGTCAGTGGCTGTGACCCCTGAGAACTGTGTTTTCCTCCAGATGCCATATGAAGCCTTGGCCTCCCCAAATGACAGTTTCTAGCTGTTTCCAAAGCAGTGTTTCTTGTTACCGGTCCAAAGTCCATGTGCCCACACTGCTAAAGGCCAGTGTTCAAAACAGCAGAGTTGAGTAAGGAAAGTTGTATTGATTGAGAAGGTGCCTAGTCAAGCAGATGGTTCTTCAAATCGGTCTTCCAAGAGCCCAGAATTCAGGTGTCTTTTATGTCAACAGAAGGGAGAATGGAAAGGACAAGAGATGATTGATCACCAAAAGCATCTGGCCACCAACAGGGATCCAAAGAAGAGTATGAAATCTCAAAATCTCTTTTTTTTAATTTAATAAATCTTTATTGTTCAGATTATTACAATTGTTCCTCTTTTCCCCCTCATATCTCCCCTCCACTAGGTTCCTACCCCACCCTCTGTCCTTACCCCCGACCACTGTCCTCATCCATAGGTGTATGCTTTTTGTTCAGTCTCTTTCAGCACCCCCCACACCCCTTTCCCCCCGAGAATTGTCAATCCACTCCATTTCTATGCCCCTGGTTCTATTATATTCACCAGTTAATACTGTTCATCAGATTTTTTATTCCCTTGGTTTTTAAATTCACTTGTTGATAGATATATATTTGTTGTTCATAATTGTTATCTTTACCTTTTTCTTCTTCTTCCTCTTCTTAAAGAATACCTTTTAGCATTTCATATAATTCTGGTTTGGCGGTGATGAACTCCTTTAGCTTTTTCTCATCTGTGAAGCTCTTTATCTGACCTTCAATTCTGAATGATAGCTTTGCTGGATAGATTATCTTTGGCTGTAGGTTGTTACTATTCATCACCTTGAATATTTCTTTCCGTTCCCATCTGGCCTGCATGGTTTCTGTTGAGAAATCAGCTGACAATCGTATAGGTGCTCCTTTATAGGTAACTACCTTCTTTGTTCTTGCTGCTTTTAATATTCTCTCTTTGTCTTTTGCTCTTGGCATTTTAATTATGATGTGTCTTGGTTTGGTCCTCTTTGGATTCCTTTTGTTTGAGGTTCTGTGTGCTTCCTGGACTTGTAAGTCTATTTCTTTCACCAGGAGAGGGAAGTTTTCTGACATTATTTTTTCAAATAGATTTCAGTATCTTGCTCTCTCTCTTCTTCTGGCACCCCCATAATTCTGATGTTGGTACAGTTGAAGTTGTCCCAGAGGCTTCTTACACTATCTTCAACTTTTTGGATGCTTTTTGCTTTTCTGAAGGAGTGTTTTTTGCTTCTTGGTGTTCCAAATCTTTGACTTGATTCTTGTGATCCTCTCATCTGCTTTTAGGTCTCTGTAAAATTTTTTTTTTTTTATTTCAGTCAGTGTATGCTTAATTTCTTGTTGATCTTTTTTCATATCCTCGAGGGTCTCATTAAATTTATTGGCCTTTTCTAGGAAATTCTTGAAAAACCTTATAACCGTGGTTTTGAACTCTATATCCAGCTACTGCTACAAATATGCTCATTATTTCCTTCATTTGTGGCCTGCCTCTTTGTCTTCACATTTTGGCTGCTTCCCTGAGTTGATAAAGTTGCTTTGTGTGCTAGGTGTCCTATAGGGCCCAGTAGCTTAGCCTTCCCAGTGACCTGAGGGTGGACACTCTTGGTGCACCCCTTTGTGGGCTGTGTTACAGTCTTGTAGTTAAGCCTTGATTGTTGTTGGTATCGCTGGGGGCAGATGACCTCCAGGCCATTTGACTGGAGGATTAGCAGTGTCTCTGCTGGGAGGGCTTCTGTGCTCAGCTTGGATGGAGCGGAGTCTCAAGGTGAAGCAGACAGCCTTGGTTTCACATCAGCCCCTCACTAAGAGGGCCCTGTGTCTCAGTGTCCTGTAGCAATGACTACATGCACCTCTGAAAAAAAGCTGCTCTCAAGTTTAGCCTGCTGCCAAATGAGTCTGGTACCGAAAGTCTCACCCGGAGCTGGATTTCAGTGCAGTCGGGAGGTTTTGTTTTCCTCCCGAATGAGAAAGCTAGCCTCCCATTTGCTGCCTACCCTCTCCTCATGCTGCGAGTAAGCCAGCCCCATATTCAGCCGCCCGTCCTTTCCATGCTCACAGATCTCCATACCTCCACAGCTCCTCTGATTCTCAGTGTCCTTTTCTCTTTCCTTCTAGTTGTAGAATTTCCACTCAGCCAGCTTTCCTGTGGTTCTAGATGATGTTCATTCTGTCCTCCAGTTGCAGGTTTAAAATTGTTGTGCGAGACATCAGTATAGGTGTTTATCTTATGCCACCATCTTGGTTTCTCTCGAAATCTCTTTGTTCCAGATTACCATCCCTGTACACATTTCCTCATCTCCCTGGGGAGAGGCACCCCCTGGCAAAAGGTTGTTTCTCCAAAAAATGTAGCCCCAAGAAGAATTTCTCTAATAATGATCACATTTGTAGCAGTAGCAGTAGCTAGTAGCTTGAAGGCCATGGGAGAAATGCAGGCTGGACCAGAGGTAGAGTCCGAGAAAGTGAACATGTCAATCTGTCACACCATCCCTGGGATTCATTTAAGAAACAGGTCCTGCCTCAGAGGTCTGGATGGGCTCCAAGACTGCTCTCCCAGCAAGCTCTTAGGCCCAACTTGAGCAGCTACATTCTAATGACTCTGCTCATTGTTCCAGCAGCTGCCAGTAGGGGGCACTGAGCCAGTGAAACAGCCTCAGGCCCCTCAATGACAGCTGTAAAAATCAACAAATAAATTCCTAAAAACTCAAGATTTTTGCCATATGTAGAGAATGCCAGCCATCTCTACTAGTATACTCATCAGCACATTTATAAATAGTGTGGATTAACAAACCTCAAAGGTTCTTAGTAAACCCTGTCATCACATTGCTGACATTAAGCCATATGCTCACAATTTCAGACTCCTTCTGAGGAGGTAAGTGTACTCCCCGCAGAGCCCACCAATGGTACTGCCTGTACCAATGTCCACAGTCAGTGCTGCCTCACACTCAGACTCCATTTTCTTTCGTTTGCATAGAGACCTTGTGTGGATATTTCTGTCTACTTTCTGGAATATAGTTTCCAACAACTTTCCCTTACCCCTATCATAAAATATCTTATCTTTGCTTATTCAAAGCTGGACTCCAAACATGATGGAGCATAAGATGAGTTAGTAGTTCACCACCTATCAGAAACAACACTGACAAACATTTTCATCAATGATCCATTCCAAAGAGGCCAAGTGACCTGGAAAGACACAACATGTGTTGGAGCAAAGGGAAACCTCCCAGGCACCTTGTTTTTATTAATGCTGAGCTAATCCTCGTTAGACCAGTGCAAGACCTGGGCAGGGGAACATCCTGCACAGGTCCTGTGTTGATGGTGTGCTTGCCCGAGGGCACCCACGCCCAGAGGGGACCTCTAGTCCTGCTCACTCTCCCTGTTATCTTTGGATGTGCTCAGAACACACCAGCCCAGGCTGTTCAGTTAGTACCAGATTGAGTTCACTTTGGGGGGAAATGTCTAGAGAATTAAGGTGGAGACATCGACCAAGGGCGGGCTCAGCAGGGGCAGCAAGGTGCATATTATTGACTTGCAATAGCTGGCGTCCATTGTCCACTGATGTTTACGTGTGACCGGCCCTGCCAGTCAGATGCAAAGGCATTCCATAAGTCAGCATGCTGCTAGACTGCTCTCATTGTCCCTCTTTGGGCCACAGGCTGGGCATATTGTGTCCCAAACTCCCACCTCTGTTATCCAGCCTCAGCCAGCAAGGTACAGGAGAGACAGGAGTCAGCCAAGTACAGACAGACCCCAGAGTCTTTTCCCGACTACAGGGCCTAAGCTCCCTTGAGCCCCTGGCCAAACAGATGGATGAGCTTCGTTTTCAATGTCCAATTGAAACTGTGCCCATGTGCTTTCTCTCGCTTCACTGGGCCAAATGTGATAAGCTGTCTCCCAGTACAATGCCAACAGGGCTAACACCTGAAACCCAGCTTACCACCCTGTGATGGCAAAAGGCAACCTCCAGATTGGTCTTGTTCACGGGGAGCACACACCTCCAACTGCACCTCCCCAATGGACCACTGGCTCTGAGGTCAGGTGAAAAGGCTAAATTAATTTAACAGCATCTAAATTATGAGCTTTATCATGAGTTTGGGGGTCAGGAAAGCTGTTCATCCTCCAGAAAGGTAACGAAATGTCTCTGTGAGCTCTGAACAGAGCAGAGACTGCTCTCAGAGGCTGAGGAGAGGAAGAAAGAAAAGCCAATTTTCCAGCGGGGATCCTGAGCACGCCTCCTCCAGCCTCCCAGGTCCCAGGGCCCACTTCCCAGCTTCCTGCCCATCACCCACCAGCAATTACAGAAGAAAGGGCAAGGCCCTGGGGACAGTAGCATAGGGGCTGGGACATCAGGAGGCCCCTCTGTTCTGAGCCTGTCACCTTTGGGTCTCTGTTGATTCTGAGGTTATCCCATGCTGGGCTGTTGCCTTGGTACCCCTATTCCTCTCAGCATCCCTCGCTCTCAGTAGAACTAAGAAGCCATCCTAGTGACAGCAGTTGAGAACATAGAAGGAAAGAAGTGGAACCACAGAGCTCATCATGCCCTGCAGAGGAAAAACTCTGGCCCCTCCATCGTGTTGGTGATCTGGGTGGCACCCACACCCATGTCTGAGGCAACACTGCAGGTGACAGAGACCAGACAAAGAGCCAGAGGCCAGGAGCTCCCAATAAGTGAAGTCCCTGGGCTCTGGAAGTGGCAAATCCCCAGAGAGCGATGCCTAACTCAACAAGAGGGCTGTTTCAAACAACGTGGAAAACTGCTGAGTGTGAGCTGAAGGACGCAGGATGGCACCAGGAGCACACACTCTGGCCTAGCAAGCTTCCCCAGGGTGAGCCCTGTCCAGGGTGTGAAGAGGGTGTGAGCCTTCACACCTCACAGTGCTTCCTTAAAAACTCGTCTATTTGCCCCTTGGGTGGCAAATCGCATTTCTCATATACCTGTGACAGTTTAACTTCCTGTCCAACCCAGCAACTGGCTGGCCTGAACCCTGGGACACCTAACAGAAATGCAGAACTGGCCGAAACTGGTTTGGCTCAGTGGATAGTGCATCGGCCTGCGGACTGAAAGGTCCCGGGTTTGATTCCAGTCAAGGGCATGTACTTTGGTTGCGGGCACATCCCCAGTAGAGGGTGTGCAAGAGGCAGCTATTCGATGTTTCTCTCTCATCGATGTTTCTAACTCTCTATCCCTCTCTCTTCCTCTGTAAAAAATCAATAAAATATATTAAAAAGAAAGAAAGAAAGAAAGAAAGAAAGAAAGAAGGAAGGAAGGAAGGAAGGAAGGAAGGAAGGAAGGAAGGAAGGAAGGAAGGAAGGAAGAAGAAAGAAAGAAAGAAAGAAAGAAAGAAAGAAAGAAAGAAAGAAAGAAGAAGAAGGAAGGAAGGAAGGAAGAAAGGAAGGAAGAAAGAAAGGAAGGAAGAAAGAAAAAGAAATGCAGAACTGCAGCAGGAGCCAGTCTTCAGCCTGCTCCCTCCCAAACTGCAGCCCTATTTTATTTGTAGGGTTTCCATTTGTTCTTAAAGGTGTGAGGATCAAAAGTTTCTGACCCTGCTCTCTCCTAGGACCTTCTCTTCCTACTGGCCACTGATGTATGGATAATTCAGCAGGACTTCTCTTGCCCAGTTGGCTGTGGTCACTGTCACCTGGGCGTCCCAGGCCATGTGTGCAGGTGGCTTTAGAAATACCACTCACGGAGCAGGTGGCTGTGTTTCTCCTAAGAAGCTTCTGTTAAAGAAAACACCCCTGTTTCTCATGGAGCCTTGCTGACCAGGATCCAGGCATCGGTGCTGTTAGTCCTGGCTGGGCAGCTAAGAGGGCCAACATGCATTGATTTTCGGGAGGACCCTCACTTGGCCTCACTCGGACAAGCAAGCCCACACTCTCCAGCTCCTTCAGAACTGTCAGCAACAAAGCAAGGCAGGAGGACACTTATTTGAAACATGATCATTTTTATTAACTTCAAAATTCAAGTCTGGCCTAAAGGAAGGCTGACTATGTCATCTTTTCTGTGGTAGAACATTTTGTTTGTTTTAACTGAACAACTTAGTGATTTGTCTGATCACAAAATCAGCTTCATATTAAGCCTGCTAAGTGTCACTTTTTTACATACAATGGGAGTTTTACAAATCACAGTTTTGAGAGAAGACCAAGCTCATGCCTACTCTTTTAACAATTTGGTCACAACTATTTAAAAATGTATTATACAAAAAATACTGAAGAAAAATACACCAAACTGTCAACTGTAGACAGAGGCTGTAGGTGATTCTTGTATTTCTTTCTTGCGTTTTGGTTATTTTCTATATTTTTAAATAATAAGCATGGATAACTTTACTTGGATAACTTAGATGGCAGGTCTTAGGTGGGCCCCTCTCCAGCCCTTTTATAACCTGGGACTGTGAACCAATAGCTCTGTGGCCACACCGTGTGTTTCAGTGCTGGTGGTGGAGCTTCTGCGGGTCGCTTTGAGGAGCCCACAGCGACTGTTCTCCTTGCAGGTGCAGGAGCCACCGTGGGGATTTCTGCCCACTTGTCCAGCACCGCGGGCAGCAGCACCCTCTCTCCTTTCCACCGAGCCCATAAAGGTAGGCAGGGTGCTAACCACCTAGATGTAAGTGGGGGAAGTGGGTGGCTGGAGAGGAAGAGAGAAAATAATTATTAGAAATGACCACGAAGCCGGGACCGGTTTGGCTCAATGGATAGAGCGTCGGCTTGGGGACTGAAGGGCCCCGGGTTCAATTCCAGTCAAGGGCATGTACCTTGGTTGCGGGCATATCCCCAGTAGGGGGTGTGCAAGAGGCAGTGGATCAATGACTCTCTCTAATTGATGTTTCTAACTCTCTATCTCTCTCCCTTCCTCTCTGTACAAAAATCAATAAAATATATTTTTTAAAAGAAAGAAAAGAAAAGAAATGACCACAAGCTCTTCTCCACTTCAAATCACCTTCCTCCTGTGATTTAATCACACTCACTGCCCCCAGCTCTAGAAATTAGAAATTTCTCTGGGAGGAGGGGAGCTGCTCACTCTATGGGTGTGGCAATGCTGCTCAGGGCGAGTGTGGCAGGGTGGAGAGGAGCCAGCTTCCTGAGCTGTGGTGGCTCTGATGCAATTCTGTTGCAGGCTTTCATCTGAGCCTGCTGATCTCAACACTTGAATATCTGTTCTCAATAACTATGTTTTACTCCCCAGTCTCTTTGGGGTGGAAGGATGGGGGAGGACCCCCAAGGTCAACAGTTTCTCTCCGAGCAAGATCTCATACTGACTCCTCATCCCCTCTTGTACAGTCGCAATGCCATCTGTGGTTTAAGCACATTTATGGCCCGGTCCCCAGTGAGGCAGGGTTGCCTTCAGATGCCCACAGTGCACTCAACACACATGCCGGCTTCCCAAAGCAGTCGAACCAAGGGCAAGCACCCCAGGAACAACTGAGCAAGTACAAGCCACGGCACTGTGGGAGGGCAAAGGAACTTGTAGGGTTGGGTTCTCAGACTAAGCAAGCATTTCTGATTCTGAAGCCCCAGGAAGTGTCCCAGGGCCATTGTTCACAGGGGCATGGTCTTAAGGAGAAAGGACCCTGCCTGGTGGATGGGTTCCTGTAGGGACGCTTGAGTCCTAAGGCATTGCCTTCTCTCCTCAACTTCAGCAGAGCTCTCAGGCCAAGGACACCTGGCTGCGGCTCTGATCATTGCCATGTCCACCATCTTTATCATGGCCATTGCCATCGTCCTCATCATCATGTTCTACATCATGAAGACGAAGCCTTCTTCCCCAGGTGACTGTTCCCCATGCCTGCCTCGTATCCCCTCTCCCCTGAACAGCCCCATCTCCTTACCAGTCGAGACCAGCTGCTCACACACTTATCTTTCTCTAACTAGCCTGCTGCACCAGCCACTCAGTGAAGAGTGTGGAAGCCCAAGTGAGCCAGGAAGGAGAGAAGAAAGAGGCTCAAGGTCTGTAAACAGAGTCCCCACAAGCATGGGTGTCTGTCTTCAGTGTGGAGATTGTCTGACCCTCTTGCCACTACCCCGGCAGCCTGGCCTTCTAACTGGCTATGCTAGGGGTGTCGAACTCAATCATAGAAGGGGCCAAAATCTAAAATCCAGCCTAAATTGCGGGCCGAATGGTTTACTGAACAGTCATAAACTGTCATTGTGATGGAAACGCAGCGGAGTGCAGTGATGACAGCGCAGTGCGGGCCACATTGCAAGGCCTGGCGGGACGGATTTGGCCCGCGGGCCTTGTGTTTGACACATGTGGGCTATGCTCTTGTGCCACTTAGTGCAGGGGTCCTAGGAAGGGGTGTTAGTGCAGCCACGTGGTGCTTAATCTTCAGGGCATTGTGATTTAGTCACCAAGTAAGGTCTGCTACAGAGGAAGTGAGCAGCGGAAGGACAAGCTCAGAGCTGGAGCCGACACTAACTCCTCGCTCCCCCAATCTTTCCCACAGACAGTGTGGTGATTTTCTCTGAAAAGGACGAATTTGAGAAACTGACAGCAGCTCCAGCAAAGACTGCCAAGAGGTATGTCAAACCAAAGCATGCCCAGTTCCAGGCTGAAGTGAAGAGTCCTTGGGGGTCCTGAGTAGGAAGGGCAGCTGGCCACGCGGGTGAGAAGTGCTCTGAGAAATCCGGCAGCTGGCTGGAGGTCGTGCTGGGACAGCTCCAGAGAGAGCAACCAGCGGCCAGCCAGCAAGGCAGTCCTAGTCAACCCGGAGCCTCAGCCTCACTGTTGGGCTGCAGCAGGGCCAGGTGGTATCAGGGAAAGGTGGTGAACACCTGCCATCCTCCGAGGCCAGATGCCCCACGCCTTTCTCTGCAACATGCACCTGCTTCATGCAGACCCCACAGCTGCTGCGTGCCCCTTTCTCTCCAGCAGCCTGGTTAATATGACTGCCACTGCTGGCCGTGCGCAAGTGACGGCACAGTGCTGACACCAGGACTGATGTCCCCGTGATACTGCAGCAGTGGTGATGGAGACGGCTACCACATACCTGGTGCTGGTTACCTCCAGTGTGCCTGTGCTGCCTTCATAAACCCTTTGAGCAAGGTGCTAACATTGCGCACATTTGTAGGAAGCTGTCATGGGCCTACAGGCACATCCCTAGGGAGTGGCAGGGCAGGGGGCGAGTCCAGGCCATCTGGTTGCAGTGTGTGTTCCACAGGCTCTGGCCCAAGCGCTAACACTTAGAGAAATAAAGCCCCTTAAGGAAGAGATTGGATGCATGAAGTCTTTACCATATTTACCACACACACACATTGGGATGTGGAATCAGCTCCAGCTTTAACATTGAGAGTGCAGGGAAGTAAACTTTTTTTTTTAATCCTCACCCAAGGATAAACTCCCATTGACTAAAGAGAGAGAAACATTAATCAGTTGCTTCCAACACGCACCCTGACCAGGGATTGAATCTGCAACCAGGTATGTGCCCTGACTGGGAACTGAACCCATGATTTTTCTGAGTCACCTTGCCAGGTCATTTGTACTTAGTCCTGCTTAGATTCCAAAAATCCATCCCATGGTAATAGTCCACCCATGGCTGTCCCAGGACCCCATCCATGCAAACTGCCCCGTGGCAGATGCGGGCAGAGGCCCTGTGGAGTCAGCAAGCTGAGGAGGAGCAGGGGCTCTGCCCTGCTTCCCTGGCTCCCGGCAAGGGGGTTTCCGGGGGACTTGAACCTGGCAGAGCCTGCTTTTTAGGCATGATAATGAACCAAGATGTTTGCATGGAGCTTTGCCGTTTATAAAGCACTACCCAACTTGTTACCTCATTTAGAAAACTCAACATCCTGACACAAGGGTAGGAAGCAAACTTAGATCATAAAACCTTTGCACACTGGGAAAGAAAAGCAATTGCGTGTGCTCATCTTGGCAGTCCTGTAGAAAATGGTTGTTTCTGATAAGTGCCTCTATTGCCAATGGTCATTTTTCAAAACCTCACACATGTTTGGTCTGAGCAACTTCGTGCACATCTGGCAAAGGTCTGCCAGGTCCAAGCTGCTGTTAGCAGGAGGGAACCCAGGCTGGCAGCTGTGTGACGGGGACTGGCTTGGCAGTGTGCCTCTTGCAGACAAGTCGCTCCTCCAGCCTTCCTCTGTCCAATCCCATGTGGTGTCAGCCACTCTCTATCTGACCTTCCAGCCTTTTCTCATTGCCAAGAGGAGAGAGCCGGGGGCCCCGGGGACGGGAGGTAGAACACTCAAAAGTGCTGGGACACATTCTAAGACTTAAGTTTCCTCAAAAGCTAAGGAAATATTTTGGGACCCTACTTGTTTCATACACAAATGTTAAATAAAAATTAACACTCAACAATTGTTTTAAAAGACAAGGCACTGAGCTTTCATCCTCTCCGCCTTCTCTCAGGTTTTAGGGAAAGGGCCTGAGGCCACTCAGTGGTCTGTGGACAGTGGTGCCTTCCCACCTGGCCTGCACACAGGTGGGGCCAGCAGCAAGCCAGCCAACTCTCCCAGGGCCGGAACCCTGGGGGTGTCTCTCACCATTTCTCCTTTCTGTATATCATTCTGTCCCCACGGTTATGTTGGTGTGGGCTTCCTAGTGCAATCCAGTTATTAGCAAATATAATTCTTCAGCCAAACCACAGGAAACAAGCAGGATGCCTATTAAAAAAAGAATATTGTTTTCATATATTTGGAATGATTTTGAGAGTTTGAGCTTCAACCCACATGTGCTTAGGGGTGTGGGCTGGGCGGTGAGCAGCAGTGTGACTGAGCCACCCGCCTCCCTGCAAGATTTCCCAGACCCACTCCCTGGGCTGCTGTGGTCTCACATCCCAGCAGCCCCCTCCCAGGCGCCCCAGGCTCAGCTCTGTGTGTATGCATGGGCTTTGTGTTCCGTTACCCCAGAGAGCTGTCATCAAGTCTGTGCCCGCCACATCACCTCGTCTGCTACATGAAGACACAAGGTTAAACTCTTTGCTTCCCTGAATGAAATGTAGAAAGCCCTAGCATATTCAAGAACCCTTTCCCAAACTGGGTGGGGTGGAGGGGTGAGCTGGTGCCATCCCTACCTTACTGGCCCCTGCGAGTCCTCCTCACCCAGTGCCTGTGCGCCACCCTGCATCCACCCTCCTTGTCCGGACGGAATGGAGAGCAGGCTGAGGCTTCTCACATCGTGCCCAGGAGATGCTGAGTAAAAGCTTAAGAACCTCGTCCCTGCTCCGCCCACCGCTGGAAGGACGTGCAGGCGGCGGCACTTTCCCAGGCAGCGCTAACGAACCCTTCCCCCCCCCCCTTTTTTTTAATATATTTTATTGATTTTTTTACAGAGAGGAAATGAGAGAGATAGAGAGATAGAAACATCGATGAGAGAGAAACATTGATCAGCTGTCTCCTGCACATCGCCCGCAACCAATGTACCTGCCCTTGACCGAAATTGAACCTGGGACCTTTCAGTCCGCAGACCTACACTCTACCACTGAGCCAAACCGGCTTCGGCTAACGAACCCTTCTTGTTTCCACAGTGAGAACGACGCCTCCTCTGAGAACGAGCAGCTGCTGAGCCGGAGCATGGACAGTGACGAGGAGCCCGCCACCGACAAGCAGGGCTCCCCGGAGCTGTGCCTGCTGTCGCTGGTCCACCTGGCCAGGGAGAAAGCCGCCACCACCCCCAAGTCAGCCGGGGTGAGGCGCTAGCAGCCCAGGCTCACACCTTGCGATTCTCTGTGCAGCCCTAAGGCACGGAGACACGCCCCTTCTCCAATGAGCCTGCTGTGGGGCGTGGCGCTACTCCCACCGCCCAAGTTAGCAAACTCAGATGGAGGGACAGATTTAAAGCAAAATATTATAAAAATAGAAAACTTATTTATCTTATGTAGCTTCATAGAAGAAAATAAATAAGCAAAGACAATAAGTTAAAATTGCTTGGAATGCTATAGGACAGAAAAAACTTTGTAAATATACTGCCCTATATCCAACCACACATATAATAGTTAAATATTATAACTATTTATAATATAAGTATATGAATACATAGTTATATACTATGTGAATGCATAGCTATCTACTGTATGAACAAATAGCTGTGTACTATATGACCACATAGCATATCGACATAGCATGCACATTTTCAGGTAAAAAAATGCTCCACAAGGTTTATCACCTGAAGCAGGCCTTAAAGGTACTGTGGAGGGGTGTGGGGCTGCCTGCCCCAGGCTGCCTGACAGTCTAGCATCCAAGCCTCAGGGCAGCTGTGTTGCTAGGTAGTGCTGCTCTTGGTAAAAGTGTCCCTTATAATTAGAGACTGGACTGGGCCTGGGTTCTGACGGAGACATCATGGGCTGTCCAGTTCAGTGACCTCTGCAGTGGGGCTGATCATTTGCTGAACCTGGAGGCCTAGTGAGTGGGTGGATACGAGGGGGCCTTCCAAGCAGGACTAGTTCTATACCTGCCCGCTAGGGGCCTCACCTCTTGGCCTCCTGCCGGCAAGCTGCAGTCCCTGGCATTTGCCCTCCAAACAGACCTGTGCACATGTGACCTCTGGTTGTCTTATGAGCCGAGGAAGTCTGCCGGAGGGCAGGAACAGTTCTCGAGCTGGAGGCCAGAAAAGGGCGTGCTCTCTGAGTTATGGATAAGATGTTCGTGTGGGGCCTTGATTCAGCATTTCCAGCTGGAAATCAGGGGACAGCGGCTCTCTGCCAACACTGAGATGGAAGAGTAGATTCATTGTTTTCTGCCATTCCCTCCTTTCTGAAAATTAACATTCTCTAAACTATTTTCATAGATTCAAAGTCGAAGGAAAAAGATACTGGATGTGTATGCCAACGTGTGTGGAGTTGTCGAAGGTGAGCATAGAAGGACTGACCGGGGGGCACTCCCCCAGGTCTTGCTTTCTAACCGGAGGCGAGGAGGGGGCTTTGACAGGAATCCTGGCGCTCTAGGGAGGGGCCGAGAAAAGTCACCCATCCAACTTCCTCATCAGAAGCTCTGGCTGAACTGATTTCAGGTGGAGGGACATGAAATTTGATTCCAAGCTATGTTAGCACATTTCCCCAGCATTTCCCATCAGCCCTCCTTTCCCTTCAGGCCAGGGAGCCAGCATTCCCCAGTGCAGGGCCTCGCTGAGGGGAACACGCAGTCAGGACACTCACTGCTCTAGAGAAAGCAGGGGTGGAAGGGCTAGATGTCTCCCAGACCCCACAGGCTGTCTCTTTTTGGCATTATCATCTTCAAAATTTTTGATAATCATCACTTATCCAAAATGTGGTAGCCGCCCTTCCCTTCCCTCTCACTGGCAGTGTGTGTGGAGGTGTCCTCTCGTAAGGATGTCTCCTAAGCAGACTGAATCATACTGCCTTACTAACTGCAGTTTAGAGTGTGGGCAGGATGAGTTTATATTTCTAATTATATTTCTATCTGAAACCAGAATCTGCACTCCCAATTTCTGCCAAATGAAGTTTCTATGTTACCATCTTGTTTTCAGGAGACAAAACTCATCCTTGAGGTTAGGGGGTTTTCCCGGCTTCATCGGGCCACTTGGTTTGGTCTCACTGGCCCCCTCCATGGATTTTTCCATATGCCCAGGCAGCAGGCGTGTAGCCTGGTACCCACTCATTTCTCCACTTGGGCCAAGCCCAGCACACTGAACCCAGGGCAGGCTTACTGGCTGGTGTTCTGGTGGTCAAAAATAACTCCTGAGGGCCACACGCTCTCTTCAAAAGCTCTGAGTGTTGAAATGTGGCCTCTCTCCACCAGTCATATCCCAGGTCAGCCTGTCCGACCCAGCGTATGTGGCTGGGAGCCATCAGCTGCCCAGTGGAGGATGGTCTGAGATTTGTATTCTATCACCCAGAAAGGTGATTAGAATTCTGTCTTCTCAGCTCCAACAATGTCTTTATTTTAAGAGCCCAGACCCCAGGGACAGCGATTTTTCAAATTAATTTTCGGATAGAGGAGCTCCTCCAGTGAGACTGGAAGGATGAAGGGCTTGAAGCCCCTGTGCACTCAGCTGCCCTCTCATGTGCCTGCAGCACCCATGGTGCCGCTGAGAACCATAGACCAGCAGGGCCCAGTCTTGAGTGAACATAAGGCCTTCGGAGAGTCTTACACTGGCTCCCTCTACTCCCCTGCCCCAAAGCCCCGATGTAATTGGTCTGGGGTGAGTCCTAGGCATCGGTGTCTCTTATTGTGTTTTTAATTAAACGTTTCCTTTTGAGATCATCGTATTGGTAAGAGATAAGACAGAGAGGTCATGTGATACTCTCCCCAGTTTCTCCCAATGGTAACATCTTGCCAAGCCATCCGTAAAGTCACAACCAGGATATCCACATGGATGCACTGCAGATCGTCCACAAGGATTTCTCTGCTTGCCCTTTTATAGCCACACACTTCCTAGCTACCCCACTCCCTGGCAACCACTAATTTGTTCTTCATTTCTATAGTTTTGTAATTTCAAAATTGTAATATAAGTGGAATCATACATACTGTAAACTCTTGCAAATGTATTTTTTCATTAAGCATAATTCATTGAAGATTCATCCAGATTAGCGCATGTATCATAGTTTGTTTCTTTTTATTTCTAACTAGTAATCTGTGTTAAGGATGTAACACAATTTGTTTAATCACTCATTCATCCATTTAAGAACATCTTAGTTGTTTCCATTTTGGGGCCATTACAAATAAAGCTGCTGTAAATAATCATGTAGAGGGTTTTATGTGAACATAAATCATTATTTCTCTGGGATAAATGCCCAGAATTATTGAGTGGTATGGTAGATTAGTGTTGTTTAAAACTTCCAAACGACTTTCCAAAATGGCTGTACCATTTACATTTTTACTGGCAATGTATGAGTGATCCAGTTTCTCCACATCCTTGCCAGCATGTGGTGGTGTTACTATTTTTTTATTTTAGTCATTCTGGTATGTGTATTTGATATCTCATTGTGGTTTTTATCTGTATTTTCTTTGTGTTTGAGCATCGTTTCATGGGCTTATTTGCTATCCAAAATGTTTCTTCATGTCTTTTGCCCATCTTTCAGTTGGATTGTGTGAATTTTTTTTTTCTGCTGTTGAGTTTTGGGAGCTTTTCAATTTTGTGATTTGCAAATATTTTCTCCACTTTGTATCTTGTCTTTTCATTCTCTTAATAGGATCTTTCACAGAGCAAAGTTTTAAATTTATTAAGTCATATTTATCATTTTCCTCTTATAGATTGCTTTTGGTATCAAGGCTAGGATCACTTTGCCTAGCTCTAGATCCCAATGATTTTTTTCTAAAAGTTTTATATTTTGCACATAAGTCCATGAGCAGTTGGAGTTAATTTTCACATAATATGAGACTTAGATTGAGGTTTTGTTTTGTTTTTTCCTCTACATGTTCACTTCCTCCTGGAACATTTGTTGAAAAGACTATCTTTTCTCCATTGAATTACTTTTGCACCTTTGTCAAAAATCAGCTTGGGCATACTTGTGTGAGTGTATTTCCTGGGTTCTCTGTTCTTTTGCATTAATCTGTGTGTCTATTCCTCTGCCAAAATCACATAATCTTGATTGCCATATTTATATGTCTTGAAATCAAATAGACTGATTGTTCCCACTTTATTCTTTTTTCTTTATTGTTTTAGCTATTCTAGTTTCTTTGCCTTTTTATATAAATTTTAGAATAATTGTTCCCATATCTACAAAATATTTTGCTGGGATTTTGATAGGAATTGCAGCAAACCTGTAAACCAAGGTTTGGGAAATTTGACATCTATACTATCACCATGAAAATGGAATGTCTCTTTATTTATTTAGATTTTCTTTTATCTCTTTCACCATATATAGTTTTTAGAATACAAGTCCTGTTACTGTTTTGTTAGATTTATGCCTAAGTATTTCATTTATTTTTGAATGATTACAAATGATATTTTATGTTAATTTTAGTGTATGTTTTAATTGCTAGCATATAAAAACATAATTCATTTTGTGTGTGTTTATCTTATATCCTGCAGCCTTGCTGAAGTCACTTATAAGGTTTAGGAGTTCTCTGGTAGATTCCTTGATAATCACCCAGATAATCACATCTGCAGATGGGGACAATTTGATTTCCTTTTTTTTAAAATCTATTGCCCATTCCTGCCTCATTGCACTGGCTATAACTTCAGCACCATGTTGACTAAGAATGAGGAGAGCAGACATCCTTGCCTTGTTCTTGATCTTGGAGTGAAAGCACTCAGTTTTTCACTATTAAGTATAACATTAGCCTAGGGTGTTTTCTGTTTGTTTGTTTGTTTGTTTGTTTGTTTGTAATTTACATTAATTTTGTGAATAGATTACATTATTTTTAAATTATTGAATCAGTCTTGCATTCCTGGAATAAAGCCCACTCTTATGAATATAATTCTTTTAATATATTGTTGAATTCTATTGTCTAATCATTTTTTAGGATTTTGCATCTACTAGTACATTCAGGAGGAATATTGGTCTGTAGTTTTCTCTTTTTTGGTACTGGTTTCGGTATCAAGTTAATACTAGCTTCACAGAATAAGCGGGGAGTGTTTCCTCCTTTTCTATTGTCCAGATTTTATGTAGAATTGGTGTTGATTCTTTGAATTTTGGTAGAGTTCTCCAATGGAACAATGTGAACCTATCAATTTTTTGGGGGGTAGTGATTTTTAAAACTACAAATTCTACTTCTTCAATCATATTAAGGCTGTTCAAATTATCTACTTTAAACTGGGTGAGTGATGGTAGCTTATGCTTTTTGAGGAATTGTTCCATTTCATCTAAGTTGTCAAATTTATGTGTGTATTCCCTTATTATCTTTTTACATCTTCATGGTCTGTAGTGATATGCTCAATTGCTTGATATTGATAATTTGTGTTATATTTCTTTCTTTATTTATTTAAAAATCTTACTAGAGATTAGTCCGTTTTGTTGATCTTTTCAAAGAACTGGCTGGCTCTTTTCAAGTTTAGCTCTATTGTTTTTCTTTTTTCAATTGCATTGATTCATGCTCTTTATTATAGTTTTCTTTCTGTTTACTGTGGGTATATTTTGCTAATCTTTTTCTAGATGCTTGAGATGGGAGCTTAGATTATTGATTTGAGATGTTTCCTCTTTGATAATATTTTTATGTATTTTGAATCATATGTATTCCTCTCATACTGCTTTAGGTGTGTCCTACAAATTTTGATATGTTGAATTTTCATTTTAAATTATTTTTAAATTTTTCTTTCTAATTTCTGTTTTGACTCCTGGGTTGTTTAGAAGTGTTTGTTTATCCCTGATAGTACACCAAATGCATGAATAGTGGTGCAAGACAGAGGCCCGGGGGACAGCGGAGCTCTTAGATGCAGTGGGAGGTCAGCTCTGTGGGTTATCCCCGGTGCTAGGGCTCTCCTCAAGGAGGGAGGCAGGATGCAGAGCAGGATGTGACTGCCAGTGGCCCGCCCCAACCTAGGAAGCACCAATAGCTTTTGGTTCCAGGACCTCCCAGAAAGATGAGGATCCCTATATCTCTCCTCCCTCGGCCCCACATTCAAACTAATCTTCTTAGAACAGAAAATCAAGGAAGCTGGCAGAAACCTAATAAAGGTCTCTGAAAACAGTGTTTCAGCCTTTGAAAAATAAACCATGTCTATAAATGCATTAACTCCATGGGGAAATGAATGTAATGAACCAAATTCAATCTCTGCTTAAAAAAACAAACAAAAAAATTGTATTGTTTAATTTCCAAATGTATGTCAAGATTTTCCTATTATCTTTCTGTTGTTGACTTACAGTTTGAGTTCATTGTGAGGATACATTCTGCATACAGTTTCAGTTCATTTAAATTTTTTTGTTGAAGTATATGTCCTGCACTTGAAAAGAATGTATATTCTGTTATTATTGGTTGGAGTGTTCTGTAAATGTTGATTGGATTATTTTGGATACTGGTATGGTTAAGTTCTATATTGTAATTATTCTACCAGTTACTGAGGAAGAGGGTTGAAGTTTTCAACTATAATTGTGGATTTGTCTGTTTATTCTTTTAGTTATACCAGCTTTTATTTCACATCTTTGGGGCTCTGTTGTTCTATGCATACATGTATAGGTTTGCTCTGTCTTCTTTCTGAATGGACCCTTTTATCATTATATTATGTCCCTCTAAGTCTCTGATAATTTCCCTTGTTCTGAAGTCTACTTTATCTGCTGTGATAGCCACTTCTGCTTTCCTTTTATTAATGTTTACATGATTTATCTTTTCCTAACATTTTACTTTCAACCTGTCCACAGTGTTTTTACTAGCCATTATTTTACTAGCTTCAGTGACATATATAAACCTTACCTCCCTATGTCCTTTTTGTTTATAGCTGTTTTATATATTTTCTCTACATATAGTTAGAACCACATCTGTTGCATCAACTTACAATAATAATTCAGAAAACTTAAAAAGAAAAAAAAAGCCTATTATATTTACTCAAATTATGCTTACTGTGTTCTTTTCTGATGTTCCAAGGTTTATTCTTTTATTATTTCCTTTTTGTTTAGAGACGTCCTTTAGTTGTTCTTTTAGGGTAGCTGTGGTAGTGACAGATTCCTTTCGTTTTTCTTTATCTTGAGAATGTCTTGATTTTGCCTTCATTCTTAAAGGATATTTTCACTGGTATAGGATACTGGGTTGACAGCTCTTTTCTTTCATTACTGGAAAACACTGCCACTTCCCTCTGCTTCCATATTTCTGTTCAGAAACCCACTGTCATTCTAATTGTTTTTTTTTTTTTCCCTATCAGTAATATGTGGTTTTTCTCTGGCTGCATTTAAGACTTTCTTGTCTTTAGTTTTCAGAAGTCTATTTATGATGTGTCTGGATATGACTTCCTTTGAGTTTTTTCTGTTCAGAGTTTTATCAGAATTTTTTTAAATATATTTTATTGATTTTGTACAGAGAGGAAGGGAGAGAGATAGAGAGTTAGAAACATTGATGAGAGAGAGTCATTCATCAGCTGCCTACTGGGGATATGCCCTCAACCAAGGTACATGCCCTTGACCAGAATCGAACCCAGAACCTTTTGGTCCCCAAGCTGACGCTCTATCCATTGAGCCAAACTGGTTTCTGCAGAGTTTTATCAGACTTTTTAATCTGTAGGCTTTGTTTCTTTCCACATTAGGAAATTTTTCAGCCATTTTTTTTTTAAGCTCCACTTTCTTTCTCCTCACCTAGGACTCCATGGAACATATGTGAGACTTTTGGTCACAGGGTCACAGGTCCCTAGGGCTCTGAGTCTTTCAGTTTGTTTTATCTCTGTTGTTCAGATTCAATAATTTCCATTCCATTATCCAGTTCACTAGCTCTTTTCTCTGTCTTTATTCTGCCATTAAACATATCTAATGAGTTTTCTATCTTTTGCTTTCAATTTTTTTCCCCAAGTGTGTTTGAAATTACTTTTGAGGTATTTTTTATCATGGCTTACTTAAAAACTTTGTCAGATAATTTTAACATATCTTACATCAGTGTTGGTATCTATTGGTTGTCTTTTTTTTTTTTTTCCTCGTTGATTTTTGTGATGTTTCTGGTTCTTGGTATGATGAGTAGTGTCTATTGAAACCTGAGTTTTTATGTCATGTTATGGATCTTACTTAAGCCTTCTATTGTAGCTGGCGCCCTCTGTGGTAGGGGGCAGGTGCCACCTTGTTACTGGCAGGTGCGGTGCAGATAGATGTTCAAGTTCCCACTCAGCCTTATTTGACATCCAAGTGTTGGCTCCTTTTTATTGCTGGTTTGAGAGTGGAACTCTGTTTCTCCAAGTAGTCTCCACTGATACAATGGGAGTTGGGGGACTTGTTACCAGCTGAAAATAGGAAAGTCCAGGCTCCCTACTTAGCCTTCCCTGACACCACTGGGTGCAGGATTGTAGCCAGACTCCTCAGTCAGCCTTTGCTGGCCATGGTGGTGGTGAAATCACAGTTTTTCTGAGGTGTTTGGCTGCAATAAAGCATTATTGTCTAAATGTTTTCTTCTTGCTAAGCTTCTGTTTTCCTAGTATTTTAATTAGAGATAACAGGCTTTTGTTGAAGGTATTTTTGTTATTGTTGGAATTTGGATTGCTGAACTATTCAGCTCCATGATTTGGATGATGAGGCAAAAGAAAACCCAAGGAACTCACCACTGTATTATTGCTCCAGTACTGAGGTCCTTGGCAGTTTTTTCCCCTCCATTTTCTAGAATCCTTATATGTTTGCTTTATGCATAGTGCCAGGGGTTTAGCTCTACTTACCCAGAAAAATATTCCATCTTCCAGAAGTGGCAACACATCAATTTTTTAAAATGTTTCTAAGTGAATCTATGTATAGCAAAGTCTGTGAACCACTGAGTTGGCTCAGATTTCTCAAACACTAAGTCTGGTCTGTCTTTGAGAGCACCTTTCATAAAGGTTACTACTGTCCCCATAAAGGGACATGATACTATCCCTTTGACTTCCTTCCTGGCCCAGGAAGTATGCAAGGTTACTCAACTAAGAGTAGCCTGTATGGAAGGCTTTGGTGACTGCTGAAAATGGTGTCGAGAGGATAACGGTCACTGTCAATATGGTTATGGTGGTTATTTTCTTAGGAGGAGAAAGGCCATTATTGAGACTGAGGTTTAGGAAAAGACTTCTCATGTGGTTGCCGAAGTCCTGGGTACTATTGGCCTTAAGCTATTTATTTTTAGTGTTTTTTCTGTATCTGTGTTTTATTTTACATATTTTTCAAAGGTTTAAAAATAAATGTCATGGTGTTGCCTTCTGTTGACTGCCATCTGCAGCATCTGACTGTGGCCCTTCGTCTCCACAGGACTCAGCCCTACGGAGCTGCCATTTGATTGCCTTGAGAAGACCAGCAGAATGCTCAGCTCCACATACAACTCTGAGAAGGCTGTTGTGAAAACGTGGCGCCACCTTGCAGAGAGCTTTGGACTAAAGAGGGATGAGATTGGGGGCATGACAGATGGCATGCAGCTCTTTGATCGCATCAGCACAGCAGGTTACAGCATCCCAGAGCTGCTCACAAAACTGGTGCAGATAGAACGGCTGGATGCTGTGGAGTCCTTGTGTGCAGACATACTGGAGTGGGCCGGCGTCGTACCCCCTGCCTCCCAGCTGCCCGCTACATCCTGAAGATCATGCCTGTGGACCACTCTTCTTGGGATGCACCAAGGACCTAATGAGAGCTCAGGATCTAATGAGGACTCTAGAGCTGTGGGTGATGCCAACAGACGACCAAGAATCAAGGGTATGTTTCCAGGGTATGCCTTAGGCTGTTTCAAGAAACAAGAGGAAATGAGGTGTCTTCCACTATAACTAAAGAGAAAAGATTAAAGCTAGGATACTCCCAGCTACCCACCTGCAGCTCACCAGATTGAATAAATATTTATTCAGCTAGTCCACTCACCATGAACTTGTTCAAGGGATATTGTTGGGTACTCAAGTGAGCCAAACAATGTGGGGATGACAGAAGTGAAGAATCTGGTCCCTGTTTAAGAAGTTTACAACCCAGGGAGAGACAGAGACATGTCCACAAGCCACTTTGCTAGAAGATATCAAACAATCTGAATGAGGGGATTCTAAGAAAATGTAATAAAAGTTCTTAGAGAGAGTGATGCTTCCCACTGAGATGGTGAGGCAGCATTTTCATGAGGAAAGCAGCTCGGGAGTTTGGTGAAATGGCTACAAAATGCAGACACCACCACCCTCCCCCTCCCCCTGCATGTATTGTTTCCGGATCAATACAAGTGGGTTCATAGGATAACTTTGCCTGTTTCTGAGGCCATCGTATTCCTGCAGCCATCTGGTCACTAATGGGAGAACTTTCTCTGGAGCCTGCTTTATGTCACTGATAGGAAGGCATGTGTCTGTCTAATCAAGGAGACCTGTGCAATAGTCAACTTATTTACTGCATGAGTTCTAGGCCTGGGGACCCAGTTGTTTTTTATAACATACTAGAGGCCCGGTGCAAAAATTTGTGCACTGGTGGGGTCCAGCTGGCCTGACCAATGGGGGTTAATCAGGCCAAGCCAGCAGCAGGGAGAAACCATGGGCAGTTGTACAGCCAGCCCTGCCCCCTATTGGGGTCAGTGCAGGCCAATCGGGGGCAGGGCCGGCTGAGGAGAGGGGCTGCGGGCAGTTGGCCAACCATCCCCACCCCTATGTTGGGGGCCAATCGAGAGCCAGGATGGCGGGGGGGGGGGGGGCAGCTGATTGGGGCCCAGATCAGGCTGGTTGGCTGCCACAGTGTGCATCATAACTACCAGTCATTCTGGTCATTCTGGTCATTCTGCCATTCTGGTCCCTGGACTTTTATATATATTGATGAATTGCCTTCCAACTCTCATTTTCAGTCACATTTGACCTTTGGGGTCAGCAGTGCTCCAAGGACACGGCCATTTATACTATATGCCAGGCTATTTTTGCTTCAAAGAAAAATGGGTGGTAACTCTGCTTAAAAAGAGAAATGATTAGTTTCTAACAGCTCAGCCACACATAACTCTTGATTTCCAGAGAGTTTGAGACGTGTGCATGGGTTACATGGTGTGAGAGTTTTAGGCCTGGCTTTCTGAGCCAATCAGGGAAAGCAGAGCCCCCTGTGCAGGGAGAGCCCGGGCTTGGTACCATTCTGTTCTTTTTCCCCAGGCCTCAGTTTGTCTTCTGCAAGTGAGAGGCTAGCGTGTGATTCTATAATCACAGGAAAAGTAAGGTTCAAATAAGCAAAAGGAAAGTAGATCTCTGGGAAATGCCAGGCCTCTGAGGTCCATGGAAGTGAATACAGTGTGAGTCACCAAGTAAAATGGAAATTTAAAAAACCCTCCGATTTCAATTGCAGTAACTGCAATTGCTTGGCATACATTCAGAAATGAAGTTAATAAACTGGCATTGTCCTTGGCAGATTCTCTTCCTACATCTGTAATTGTAAAGAGCTGGAGAGCAGGGTGAAGATCTCACCACGGCTTAGTTTGGAGCCATGGCTGAGCTCCCTAAGTTCAGGTCTGACTGTGGTTGTTACTGAATTAGAACCAGCCTCTCACGTATGAAGAAATGCTTCTAAAATCACAAGTTGCATGACTGAGCAAATATTTTGGGGGTGAAAATCAGTCATATGTTTAAAGCCAACAAACAATTTTCCACCAATGAATGTAGAACATACTGTGATAAAGTCATAATGAATATTTAATATCATCATTTACTATGTCTGTTTGCTGCTCTTTGTCAGAACCTATTTGATATATTCTGCAAGCTAAATCTGCCATGGCAAAACATAGTTACCTTTATTCCTTCTGAAGTCCTGGGTACCCCTTTCCCCTGCTTTGTGATAATGATGATGAGAATCTCCCCCTTAATTAGACTGCAAATGTCACATGTGAAGAGCACACATTTCTAAGATAATAGTTTGCGGTTTTCCTAGAACAACATTTCCAGTAATGGAGCAGGGATGGCTGTTCTCTGCCTCCTCCCTCCACACACACACACACACACACACACACACACACACACACTTGTGGGTGGGGAGAAGAGTTCCCTCTTCCCACCTACTGTTGAATTCTGGGATCAGAGGTCAACCAGCATCAGATCATGTTTTTTTTACTTAACCTGCCATTTCTAGGGAGCTAGTTACACATACACTTATGTATTTCTTTGTCATTTACTTATTTGGAGACAAATCCAAAAAATGTTTACTCTGATAAGCTTTGGCCTGCATATGGACAATGAGACCATACGATTATTACTGACTAAAGCTGGGACTCCACCCTGACATCTGTGTGGAGACAGTCATTATTTTGCTATATGCAAAAACATTTAGAAAATACCCCAGGCTAGAGCTGTAGCCTATAGCCAATGAAGTCTTAATTGTCAATTTTTTGTCTAATTTTGTATACATAACTTATTATATTTTACAGTTTCAATAAACTAATAAAAAAAAAAGAGCTACAGACTGCTACAATGTGAGTTCTTTGGGAGGGGGCCTTTGGAGAAGTGAAAAGATTCTGATTTCTCTGTTCCTGGTTATTGCTCTGTGTTTAACAAATCTGTAGGATTGGGACCAGCAGATTTGAAATACCTAAAATGTTATGAGCTGAGCCATTCACTCAACAAAAGCAAGCATTGCAACGAGATCATGTGAAAAATACTAGGAGCATTGCTTTCCCAGTTGCTATCATTAGTTTATAAGACATTGATTCACTTAACTACAGCTATGTAATAATACTGCCCCAACATTCAGTGGCTTAAGCCAACAATATTTTTTTAATGTTTCCATTGATTTTAGAAAGAGAGGAAGGGGGAGACATAGAAACATCGATGACAGAGGAACATCCATCTGCCGCCTCCCACATGCCTCCACCGGGGTGGGGCCCACATCCTGGGTATGTGTCCCAATCAGGAATCAAACAAGTGATCCTCCTGGTTCATGAGTCTATGCTCAGCCACTGAGCCACACTGGCCGGGCAACAACCATTTGGCTATTACAATTCAGGGGTTAGTAAGGTTTCTAGCTGACCTAGGTTATACTAAGGTGGTTGTGGCTCAACTGGGACCTCTGTCTGTTGGAATACTTTCATTGGGATAGCTCTGCAAATGTAAAGTCAAAGAGTGAAATGTCAAAAATTAGGACAGATGATGAAAATGTCCACAGGTATATTTGTTTCCTACACCTGCTGTAACAAATTACTACAAATCTAATGGTTTAAGACAACACAGATTTATGATCTTATCATTATGGAGGTCAGAAGTCCTAAAATCAAGTGTTCCTTGTGGAGACGTTAGCAAACAAATCTGTTTTCTTGCCTTTGCTAATTCATAAAGTCCTTTCATTCTCCTTGGATGATCCTCTTCCACCCCCTCTAGCCAGCAATCACATTGCTTCCCCTGCTGCTTCCTTCTCTGACTCCAAATGCTGCATTCCTCGTACCTTTACAAGAATGTTAAGTCAGGAACATACCATCTCAAGATCCTTAATGCAATCAACACTGCAAAGATCCTTTACCACATAAGATCACATATTCACAGCTGCTGGAAACTAGAAGGTCGACATGTTGGAAGGTCCATCCTTCTGCCAATGACAGTAATTGCTGTAAAACAATAGTGTTGTAACAACAACAGTGAGTGTGTAGTAGCTGTGGAATATAACAATGTAACACCAACAATGAGTGTGTAAGTGACTCTGGAATATCACAATGTAACACCCACAGTGAGTGTGTAGTAACTCTGCAATATAACAATGTAACACCAACAGTGAGTGTGTAGTGGCTGTGGAATATTACAATGTAACACCCACAGTGAGTGTGTAAGTGACTCTGGAATATGACGATGTCACATTGCAGAGGAAGCGCAGTGAAGAAACTGTCCAGCAGAGTCTATCTTCTGTGTGGCTGAAATGTCAACTACACAGTGGCTGCCTTCCTTCTGAGGACAGAGAAATGGACTGTGCTGCAGGTATCGGCCACAGAGCTTTCCCCTCCCTGACTGGGTGAGCTCTGCTTTCCTCCACTTTCATCTTCAGAGCAGACGTGGCAGTCACCTGCATCCCCAGTTTCCATTGGAGAACATCCCATTTCTAGTGAGCCATTCACTTTGGCAACACAATGATGGCTTCGGAAGCCTATTGACTTTGTAATGAACCAACAGGTAAGGTGTATTTTGCTGCTATGGTCAATGCATCGAGCCCTTCAATATTGCATTCCTAGTAGAAAACTAAAATTCTGGCACATCTTCCTATTTGAGTGGCTGGTGACATGGGTCGTGAAAGAATTCACAAAGAAGAAGGAAAGTAACGATGAAGTTTACTTTCCAAGGATGGAAAGGGCCAGGTCCTGTTGGAGCAATACGGATCCTGAAGAGAGAATCGCTCTGGCTTTTAAAGAGTAAGCAGTTGTGTTGTGAACAATAAGGAAGGAAGGGTGTTGTGTTGGTTTAGTGGTTCAACTATAAGCAGATGCTGGGAGTTATCGTGAAGTTATAGTTGTTTGGTTTTCAGGAGATGGTCAGGCGATGCACTGAGACTATGCCATACCAGCATTTTCTCATGCCTGTGAAACAAGCTTAGAACAAAGTCATGAAGAGTTCAAAGGGGAGGCCTGTTTGAAAGGGAGAAAGAAGGGCAGGGAGAGGAGAAGGAATACCAATTCAACTTATTACCAGAGACTACTCAGTATGAGTCATCCTGAGTCTATTAAAACAGCAGGGAGGAGGGGGAGGAGGGCAGCCTTCTGTTGTCCTGCTATGTACACAGGAAACAACTGTCTTGGGGCTTAATTATCAGGCGCTTCTCATAAATTATGGAAAAATCACAACAAAGAAAAAGAGAGGCCTATTTTCTATTCTTTCACTTCCCATATATGTTGGTGTGTTTTAGAATCAGAAAAACTTGGAAGTAGCACAAGCACTTTAGAGGGTCAGAGGAGTCTTTCTTAGCTTTATGTTCTGGTTCCCCGATATCTCATGAGGAGCAGAAGTTTTGTAGATATTTTATTTTTTAAAAAAACAGCATAGAGATAACCACAGGCAAAATAGAGAGATATTTGAAAACTTTTTCCTGAGAGTTTCTACAAACTTGACCTACCCCTCAAACTAAAAGTTACCTAGTCGTTCCATTTAAACAAGGTTATTCATGATTCATTTTATTTTGTTTTGTTTTGTTTTGTTTTTATCTTATTTTCATAATTCTGATCAGCATTGATCAGGATAACTACTGCTCTCGGAGAATTGCTCCTATTCATTCACAGTCACCTGTATTGGCCTTAAGACAGTTTCAAGTCATTTCTCTACCCTTCATTTTTCTCATCTAAAAATGGTAATACTGTAGTAATATTATGTTGCTTTTATAATTGTTGAGAGAATTAAATTATGTAATAAATATACAGTACTTCATCAGGCACATATAAAGTTCAACAGGGGAATCCAAGATGGCTGCTCGGGTAGGCAACTAGCCGCAGCCGCACACAACAATTTCAACAAAATACAACTAAAATATAAAATGGACATTACCCAGAACTACAGGAAAGTTGACTGACTGGAAATTCTACAACAAGAAGCAAGGAGAAAACCAGAAGGAAGCGCGGAGGAGCTGTAAAAGCCCAAGGTACGGAGAAACGCGGCGCGCGAGGAGAGAACAGAGCCGGAGAGGAGGGAGGCCAAGTGCCTGGCTGGCGGTCCCAAGCGGGAAGGAGAGAAAAGCTCCGACTGTGCTGGGCCCAGCTCCAACTGCTCTGAACCCCAATTCTAGGCCAGACCCTGGGGACCCAGGCTCATCCATAGGGAGCCGGGCTGTAAGGCGGGACTCCGGGGAAGCGGTGAAAAGGAGGTCCCGGAGGAGCGCACACTGCGCACAGAGAAGGGCCGGCTGTGCCGCGGGATTGCCCTGACGGGAAGGAGACAGGGGCTCCAGACTGCTCTGAACGCCACCTCCAATCCCACTACCAACTGAACTGAACCCCAATACCGGACTCATTGGGGGAGAGCATAGATAGTTTGGCAGCAGGCGAAAATCGAGGGCACCTTTCTCTCAGAGGCACTCGCAACAAGTACTGAAGGTCCCTGAGTCTCAGGAGTTGCATAGGGCGGGGCTGACGGAAGCCAAGGCTGTAGGCTCCACCCTGAAACCCCGCCCCATCAGGAAAGCTGCCTGCGAAAATGCCTAAACCAAATAGATCACAAAGGAAAGAAATGGAGGACAAAAAGCGACTGGATATAGAGTTCAAAACCACACTTATAAGGTTGTTCAAGAATCTCCTAGAAAAGGCCGATAAAATAAACAAGACCTATGAGGATATGAAAAGGGATCAACTAGAAATAATAAGGGAT